CAGCCTAGGTAAATAGGTGAACAGTGCCCAGTGAGTGAGGAGATCAGCATTCTCAATTCAGTGCATGATAGTATGTGACCTAAAACACACTACTTAGCACCTGTAGTTGATAATAGACTAGTGTCACATATGCTAAACACAAATGAGATAACACATAAAGGTGAGAGCATTGAATTCATAAGAGGAAAGATCCTTTGTAAGTTCACAGTACCTATAGATGGTATTCTGCAATTCAAATAGCAAAAGCCTGGAAGATTTAGATGGACAACCTGATAGCCATCATCTTAGGTGCTAGCTTCGAGTCGGCTCTATGAGAAAGTAAGGTGCATTGAACAACAGATATTTGTAGGATCTTATGGGAGCTCAGTGCAGTAGCAGAATGCTGAGGAGGGCCACATAATTCAGCCAAGATATGCTCCTGAAAAAAAAAACTATTTCTGCTCTCTTCTTGCCTTTTTTCAGTATATACCAATAATGTCAAGAACATCCATCAGGAAACCTATCAGAGTTGTAATAATAATAATAACTAACATTTATCAAGAGTGTACATGTGTCAGCCCCATTTTAAGCACCTTGTGTGTATTTGCCTCTTTAAATACTCATAGCCCTTTGAGACAAATAGCAGTATTAACAGCATTTTCCAAATGAGAAAGCAGGCTTAGCAAGGTTAAATCACTTCAGCAGTTGAACTTGTGAGGTCATCAATCTTCTGACTGTAATAGGTGCTGGGATGTCTCCTTTGTTGTCAACTTCCTCTATAACTGTCTGCCACTTAATTTGGCCATGGCATACCCTTGCAGATAAAACAAATGCATCAGAAGAAGAGGGCATGTAAAAGGTTGGGTTTGAAAATTAGCTCCCTTAGAAAAATACATTGAACATTTACCACTTATCAGAGTGGGCAATTAGCTCTGGAGGCATATAGATGATTAAGACATGATTGCTGCTCTTGGAATCTATTGACTTGTTAGGGAAGACAGCAGGAACCAATAAATCTAATAAAGCATTCAAGGGAAGTATGGCAGTGTGGGCACCAGTATTCTATCTCTCCCTCCGACCCAGAAGCTGAGTGACCAAAGGAATATGGTAATAGAGGAAATCCTTTGTCTTTCCTGGGGACTAAGGCAGTAAGACACTCCATGTATTCACCATCAAGCAAACATATTCTTGCTACATATATTGCAGATGAGACCAGAACAACTTCTATAGTTGGAGTCAAGTCAAGTTCCTCTTCTGAATTTATGAGGCATCTCGAGTATTAAACAAAGGACATGCTGATGGGGTTCTTCTAAGTCCCCCACCTGTGAGGGCTGAAAGTGAGAGACACACACTGAGAGCAGTACCACATTCCACTCTGACTTTACAAATGCCAAGGCAAACAAATTATGACAGGTGCTGCCTGGCTGTGTACCTGGGGAGCTGTGAGAGCCTGGAGGGCTGAGTAAGCCCTCCCACTCCCACTCCATATGTGTTAGGGGGAAGGCAATGGAGGAGGAGGGAAGAAAGGCTTCAAGTGGGAGATGGAGGCTGAGAGAAAGCTTGAAAGAGCCGGCGCCGTGGCTCAATAGGCTAATCCTCCACCTTGCGGCGCCGGCACACCGGGTTCTAGTCCCGGTTGGGGCGCCGGATTCTGTCCCGGTTGCCCCTCTTCCAGGCCAGCTCTCTGCTATGGCCAGGGAGTGCAGTGGAGGATGGCCCAGGTGCTTGGGCCCTGCACCCCATGGGAGACCAGGAAAAGCACCTGGCTCCTGGCTCCTGCCAGGATCAGCGCGGTGCGCCGGCTGCAGCGGCGGCCATTGGAGGGTGAACCAACGGCAAAGGAAGACCTTTCTCTCTCTGTCTCTCTCTCTCACTGTCCACTCTGCCTGTCTTACATCAAAGAAAAAAAAAAAAAAAAGAAAGAAAGCTTGAAAGATGGATGAGGTGAAAGGATGGAGTGAAATAGGAAAGCGTTCCTGGGAGAGAGTGCAGTTTGACTAAAAGTCTGCAGCCCTGAAGCAGCATGGCAAGTTGGATAAACAGCAGCAATTCTGCAAGATCCTAAGAGAGATCTTTCAGGCTGCAGGTGGAGATGCAACTGGACATGAGAGATGCCTGGGATTGGGCACAGATAGAGTGAGGCAGAATTGAGCTAAGGCAGAAATGAAGGAGGGACAAGAGCTAAAACAAGTTGATGGCAGGGCAGATGTGAGGGCAAGGATAAAGCTGAAGCAGAGGGCTAGACTGGGAGCCACTCACTAACCTGGTGAAATAAAAGAAGGGGCAGATTTCAAAGGGAGTCCATAAGGGTCCCCTTGTAGATGTCCAGGGAAGAGTGAGAGATGTGATTTGATTCCTCAGATGGCAGGTCTCTGGAGGGACCCGGCCCCTGCTATCAGGAACAGGTAGCCAGTCAGTCTTCTTGTGAACTTGTTTCTTCTTGCAGAGTGCAAGACTACCAGGCACAGAGAGTAATGATGAGACTGACTGACATTTGCAGTCCATGGAAGACAGAGTCACAAGCTTAGTTCTCAGGCATTTGGTACACAAGGAAATTCCTTTTCTATTTTAACAGCCAGGGAAATACCCCCTTCTCCCTGCTGTCACCTCTGAGCACTAAAAGGCAGCCTTCAAGAATTCTATATGTTATTTCCATCCTTGTGTGCTTAGTGCACATCTTCTTCACCCTTGATACACATGTGTGCATGTATTTATATCCATACAAATGTCATTTCTGTCTTCTGCATTTCAGATCACATCATGGTGATCAGACCTTTAGAGAAAGGAACATCAGTTTGGTTATCAAATGGATGCATGCATCGGGTTAGTTATCAAAATGTTTATGAATGAGTATGCAGGTGAATCTGGTGAAATGGCAAATGAGTCCGCATCGCTTGTTAAATAAGAAATCACCAACGGGGAGAGAGGATTCTGCTTAGTTCCTCCAAACTGTAACAGAAACCCTGGTAGCCCTAGCGGTCTCCATCTCTCCCTGGGACACAGTTTCCTGAATGTGTGTTGAGCTGCTGCCGCTGCTTTCTACCTAGTTAGGACTTCAACCTGGAAATAGCAGAGCACGAGTGACAAAAGGTCAGAGTGCTGGCAAATCAACAATCGCTCCGGCCTGAAATCTGAATCCATTACTTACTCTTACTTCTATTAAGGGAATCGCGACTGAGCCCAGAACACAATGAGTTTTCCTGAGATTGATCTAGAAGGCCCACGTGCCCCTGGGGAAAAAAACAGCCTCTCAAAGAAGTTCTCTCTAGAGGACTTTCACCTGTTAGCCCAGCTCTGACCCAAGAATTCTAATTGCAGAGGGGGAAGGGAGCCTTAAACACAAATCTGTAAGTCATCTTGCTGCTAATTCAACAGTGTGATACATGCAGACTGTGTTCCTGAGGCTAAGGACACCCAACAAATCAGGACGTTGATAGCTGCTTTAGTTCATCGCAAGGTAAACTTTGCAAACTGTTCAGGAAATTAGGGCTTTCTTTCTTTCCTTTTTTTTTTTTTTTTTTTTGGAAAAAATATTTATTCGAAAGGCAGAATGATTGAGAAAGACATAGGTATTTTCCATCTGCTGGTTGACTCTTCAAAGAGCCCTAATAGCCAGGGAGGGCTAGTCCAGACTGAAGCCAGGAGCCAGGAGCTCTATGTGAGTCTCCCACAGGGGTGGCAAGGGCCCAGGTGTGTGGGCCGTCCTCTCCTGCCTTCCCACATGCATTGGCAAGAGCTGGATCAGAAATGGAGCAGCCATTATCTGCTTATCTGCTGTGATAAGGGATGCCGCATTACCGGCAACAGCTTAGCTCACTGCACCACACTGCCAGACCCATGGACTTTTTTAATATCCGTGATTTGAACAGTGCCTCTTGAGAGCCCCTTGTTTGTCTTTCTAGGCTCAAAAATGCCCAAAGATCACCAGCCTTTCAGAGAACTGCTTTTCTGGATTGGCAACTATAGGCTCAAGATTTCCGCCTGTGTTACTGACTCTCACTTCTGGTTTCCTATCATCCCAAATAATTTTCTTCCTTAATTCAAAGGCAGAGATGACTGCCAATACTTTGTATTCTCTTTGACTAACTTCAGAAAGCTGGAGGAAATTCATGGAGATAAAACGGTTCAAGAAGAGTAAGAAAGAAAATAACTTCACTGAGTACAAGATGATAGTTTCAGATTAATGAGAGCTCATGGAAAAGTAGGTTAAAAAAAACTGTTTTAATAAGATGAGTGGCCAGAACAAAAAAAGATGCAATGGCAGATGAAGTATCAGACTAGAATCCTGGGATCTGTAGGCAACACTATTGATCATTTTCATCTAAATCTCAAAGAAGACATGACTATTAGTTTTTTTTTTTTGCATTTATGATGTATTTTGTTTATCCTTAAACCGTAAAGCACTATTTTATGGTGCTCAATGATTTACTAGTTTTTAAGTGGCTCATAACATTCAAAGGCTTAGTGTGTGTGTGTCGGGTGTGTGTGGGAGGGGTGACTGAGAAGAAAGCAATCCTTTTTGAAAATATCTCAAGTAAGGGTCAGCTGTTCAATGCCTAGAGCCAATTCCATTACACACAAAAATAGACCGTGTAAGAACTGTGTGGTGTCATATTTAACTAGTGTGACTAAAATAGACTCTCTGTTTATAAACTCATTTTCTGATTACTGTGCCTTATTTCTTGGGCACCTCCTTGAATAACAGAAAAAATAAATAAAATGTGCACCTATTAAACCAACCCCATTAGACTGAGTGGCATTAAGTCTTTACTTTATTCTCATTGATGAGGCTGAGTCCATAGTTCCAGAAAGCCTCTTCCCTCGGCAAGTCAGTGTGTGGTTCGGGGTGAGTTCAGCAATGTTTTTGCAGAAGAGGAACTAAAAGCATTTGCTCAGATGGATAGCTGACCTATTTGAGGCTCTGGCTGTTGGCGATAAAACACTGGTTTCATGGAGATGGGGCAGCAAAAATAATACATCTCCTAGCCCCTAAACAGTATTTGTCTTTTGTCATTTTCCAGGGAGCAACTATGTCACCATTTCTTCGGATTGGTTTGTCCAACTTTGACTGTGGGTCCTGCCAGTCTTGTCAGAGTGAGGCCATTAACCCTTACTGTGCTGTGCTTGTCAAAGAATATGTTGAATCAGGTAAGATTGAGTGGGGCTTTGGGGAGAGGGAGGAGGAGGATCTTGCTATAAACTATGTGTGAATCAAGGCCTTCTAGAACCTTCAAGGTCACATGGTTCAACAGTTGAGGACCCTGAAGCCCCAGGAAGCCTTGAGGGTACATGCTTAGTGATGACTTGGAACTAGAATCTGGTGACCCCCTGTTTGGTTTCTTTCCTGCTACCATTTTTCCCACATGAACAAAGGAAAGGAGAAAGGTGAATTGAGGAAATTGCATGAGGATTTAATTGAAAAGAAACTTAATGAGGGAAACTAGAACATGGTTGGGGGCAGCATTATGGTGTAGTGGGTTGAGCCTCACTTGTGACACCAACATCCCATGTGAGTGCTGACTTGAGTCCCCGCTCCTCCACTTTGGATCCAACTCCCTAATATGCATGGCAAGACAGCAGTGCATGGCCCAAGTACTTGGGTCCCTGCCATCCATGTGGGAGACCAGGAAGGGCTTCCTTACTCCTAGCTTCAGCCTGACCCAGACTTGGCTATTACATCTATTTGGGGAGTGAACTAATGGATGGAAGATCAGTCTTTCTCTCTCTGTGTCTCTCTCCATGTCTCTCCCTCTCTATCACTCTGCCTTTTAAATAAATATACGAGTAATCAAGTAGAACATGGGACCCATGCTGACAAGCCTGGTTGCTTTAAATGTTTGTAGGCAGATTAAGATCACACGATCATAAGATCAGCTCTGATGACTCCAGGCTGCAACTTTAGTTAAGCACATATGAAAATTACACAGGGGCCAGCACTCCGGTGTAGCAGGTAAAGCCGCCACCTGCAGTGCTGGCATCCCATATAGGTGCCGGTTCAGGTCCCGGCTGCTCCACTTCTAATCCAGCTCTCTGCTATGGCCTGGGAAATCAGTAGAGGATGGCTCAGGTCCTTGGGCCCCTGCACCCGCATGGGAGACCTGGAAGAGGGTCCTGGCTCCTGGCTTTGGATTGGCTCAGCTCTGGCCGTTGCAGTCAATTGGGGAGTGAATCAGCGGATGGAAGACCTCTCTCTCCCTCCCTCTCTCTCTCTTCTCTCTCTCCCTTCCTCCCTCTCTCTCTCTCTCTGCCTCTCCTCTCTGTGTGTAACTCTGACCTTCAAATAAATGAATAAATAAATCTTTTAAAAAAAGAAAATTACAGACTCTATACTTAACCATTAGAATAAAAAAATTCAGAAAACTTTTTTTCTACTTACATGTCTGTGAGAATGACAGAATAATCATGTTTTGTCAACCGTAAATATTTTAGGTAGTTCATGGTGAGGGGACAAGGTGAGTCAGCCACCCATGGATTTATAAGATTCTGTTAGAGCAGTCCTATTCCGCAGAGCATCTCTCCATTGCTTCCACTCGCCTTGATCGCTGCCTCCGCATTTTAAGACCCTCATGAGGCAGGTGTGCAGGTGTTTGGCCTAGTGATTAAGGTGCCTATTTGGATGCCTGCATCCCATGTTGGAGTGCCTGGGTTCCAGTTCCAGCTCGACTTCTAATTCCAGCTTCTTGCTAATGTACACTCTGGGAGGTAGACATGATGGCTCAACTAGTTGAGTTCCTGCCACCCATGTGGGAGACCTGGATTGAGATCCTGGCTCCTGGCTTCTGCCTGGCCTAGCCATGGCTGGTGCAGGCATTTGCGGAATGAACCAGTTAGGTGGGAGATCTCTATCTGCCTGCGTGTGTCCTCTCACTTGTATTCTAATTCTCTCTCTCTCGCTGTCTCTGCCTCTTTAAAATAATAATAAATTTTTAAAAAGGGATTCTATGGACTTCCCAAGAGAGAGAGGAGAAAATTTATATCCCAAGACCTCCCCAGCCCCATAACCTTTTCCTGTTTCCCTCCGTCTTTCTTACCTTAGCAGACACTTCCTCAAGACATATGATTGCCACTGATGCAGGTTTGCAGTAACTCTAGGGACTATCACAACTTATATGCACCAGAAATGTTGATAGGGAGCCTGCTGTGAGAGTGCTGGGGCTCGAGCCCAGAGGAAAATAAGCAAACAAGCTTGTGGGGTAGGGGTGGTAGCAATAAATGAAACTACAGTAAGTAGTAATGATAAGGGCAGTGAAGAAAATCAAGGTTGGAAAAAGAATAAACAGGAGGATTGGGGTTGGAAATATGTGTGTAATTTTATGCAGCATATACCAGAAAAGGCTTCTAAGGGGGTTGCATTTGCAGATGCAAGGGGAAACTGAGTCAGGTGCTCAACCTCTGGCTGGATGCTTACTGCTCAGAATTCTGGGCTTCCAAATCCCAGCATGTTGGCTTCCCTCCTTCCAGCAAAGACATTTTGCCTCATGACTGCCTCCATCCTTGCAGACACTCTGAGTACATCAAAGCCAGAGACACCATCTGAATCATCTTGATTTCCCTTCTTCCTAGAGTTCTTTTCCTGTTTAGTTAAAAAGTGAGGATGCCAGTTGCTCCCAACCTACAACCTTTCAAATGTCACAGGCATCTTTGAAGTGGAAAATGTCTGAGTGTTTCAAAGCCGCTTTTGACTTAATGGGTCTCCTAGATCCAGCCCTCTTTATAACCTCAGGTCTCACTGACATTTGCCTCCTGAGAGCCCTTTTTCCCTTCTTCTTCTTTTAACCTTGCCTTTGAACTTGGTCTCATCAGTCATGTGCATCCACAGACCTTGTCAGAAAAGGAGGAAGCTATTTTTCTAAAAGATTAGGCAGTGGAGTTGGGGGCAGTGTGGATGTTTTGGTTTTGGTTGTGGTTGGGTTCAGCAGAGAAATCGCTGGGGACACTCTCGTTCAAGTATGACTTCTATAGAATTTAAGCACGTTTCAACCCTCGGGGTGTGCAGCTGCATTTTCCATGACAATTCCGCAGAGCAGGGGCAAGCAGGCAGCAGCAGTATCAGTCTGGGAGCCTTTATGCCTGGAAGTAGATAGGATCCTGGTTCTGGTCCTCCTTTCAGGTAATTTAAACCTCATGAATGAAAATGTGAAAAATCCTTTGCTGCAGGAATTTTTCCCCTTCTGCTGATGTGGAGAGTGAGAACAGAGAAGAGGAATTATTTGAAAGGAAGCTTTACATCTGTTGAGGGAAGATGTTGGTGTGATCTTGAATACTGCCATTGGGTCCCGAAAAGCCCAATTTCTAGTTAAGTTTTCTTAATCAAGCCATCAAAATCTTCCCCTTCCTATGCCACCCTTGACTGTATCATAGTTCATACCTCTACTAACCCAGTTCACCTGAAGTTCTGAGTTTCAGCTGAGCCATCTCCATGTGTAGTCCAAAAATAAGTAGTAATTGAACAAATGCCAAATGCCTGTTTTGTTTTAGCATTGTGCATAGAGGAGAAGGGGCCAGCAGGAGTTAGAGCCGCTTTATATTCCTGCTTCAAGTGGATTTTCCCCTTTGGCTAAATTTGCCAGTTAAAGTGCTTATTATCACAAGAAAGAAACACTCAAATACAGCTGCAGTTTTCTGCTTCAAATATGATTAAATAATAAATACCAGAGAGAATCCAATGTGGATTGAAGCTATCACAGAACCATTCACTCTCATTAGTGAAGTATTGCCCTGTCGCCTGGTGACTTCTGGGCTGGTTTCTCTTAATCCCCTCATCCTGTCCCTGGTTCTTGTTCCTAACCATGTGCAGGATGCCCATCTCTCTTCACCAGTTCTATCTGCTTCACCAGCTCCATAGGTCAAGACCACCATCTCAGAGGCTGGCACTATGGCATAGCAGGTAAAGCCGCTGCCTGCAGAACCAGCATCCCATATGGGCGCCGGTTCGAGTGCCAGCTGCTCCACTTCCAATTCAGCTCTTTGCCGTGGCCTGGGAAAGCAGTGGGAGATGGCGCAAGCACAAGTGTAGGAAGACCTAGAGGAAGCTCCTGGCTCCTGGCTTCGGATCAGCGCATCTCCGGCCATTGTGGCCAATTGGGGAGTGAACCAGCAGATGGAAGACCTCTCTCTCTCTTCCTCTCCTTCTCTCTCTGTTAACTTTGACTTTCAAATAAATAAATGGCTTTAAAAAAAAAAAGTCTACCCTCTCAACCCGTCACTGTGGCAGAGCGGGTTAGGCTGCTGTCTTTGGTGCCAGCATCCCATGTGGGTGCCAGCTACCCCACTTCTGACCAGTTCCCTGCTAATGCACCTGGGAGGGCAGCAGAGGATGATCTAAGTCCTTGGGTTTCTGAGCCCACATGGGAGACCTGGAAGAAACTCCTGGCTTGTGGCTTCAGCCTGACCCAACCCTGACCGTTGCATACATTTTCGGGGAGGGAATCAGTGGATGGAAGATCTCTCTCTCCTCTGATTCTCTCAAATAAATAAATAAATCTTAAAGAAAAAAAAAAAAAAACACTCCCGGGCCATAGCAGAGAGCTGGCCTGGAAGAGGGGCAACCGGGACAGAATCTGGCGCCCGACCGGGACTAGAACCCAGTGTGCCGGCACCGCAAGGTGGAGGATTAGCCTATTGAGCCACGGCGCCGGCTCTCTATGTCTTTTTTTTTTTTTTTTTTTGACAGGCAGAGTGGACAGTGAGAGAGAGAGACAGAGAGAAAGGTCTTCCTTTTGCCGTTGGTTCACCCTCCAATGGCTGCTGCAGCTGGCGCCTTGCGGCCGGCGCACTGCGCTGATCCGATGGCAGGAGCCAGGTACTTATCCTGGTCTCCCATGGGGTGCAGGGCCCAAGTACTTGGGCCATCCTCCACTGCACTCCCTGGCCACAGCAGAGAGCTGGCCTGGAAGAGGGGCAACAGGACAGAATCTGGCGCCCCGACCGGGACTAGAACCCAGTGTGCCAGCACTGCAAGGCAGAGGATTAGCCTAGTGAGCCGTGGCGCCGGCCCTCTATTGCTTTTGAAGACAGGTGACTAAATGTATTTTCTGTTTTTTGTTTGTGTGTGTGTGATTTAGATGTTTAAAAAAATCTTTACATGTAAATTTTATATATATATATATATATATATAGATCTCACAGTCTGGGGTTGGTTAAGCATTGTACAGGACATCCTTATTTTGGTAGACTCTAAAACCTTTAACATTTTTATATTAGCAATGACAAGTCAGATTGCAGGACTAAGTGGTATGGCTGCCTTCTGCAAAACTGCCAAATGTGTAGTGTCTAGAAGGTTATAACCAAGGTCTATGCAGTGACACTTTAAGTAGGTAGTCTGAGGTTTTTTTATGATTTTTCTATAGGTTTTTTTTTACATTATTTTCTTTTTGATTACCTGTTCTTTCTTTTTTAAAAATATTTGTTTTATTCATTTGAAGGCAGAGTTGGGGAGGGAGAGAAAGAGGGGGAGAGTTAGATCTTTCATTGGCTGGTTCGCTCCCCAGATGGCCACAATAGCCGGGGCTGGGCCAGGCCAAAGCCAGGGGCCAGGAGCTTCATCTGGGTCTCCCATGTGGGTCGGAGGCCAGGGGACTTGGGTCTTCTGCTGCTGCTTTCCTTGGTGCATTAGCGGGGTGCTGGATTGGAGATGGAGCGGCTGGGACTTGAGCCGGCAATCATATGGGATGCCGGCATCACAGGCAGTGGCTTAACCCATTATGCGACAGTGCTGGCCCCTAGGTTTTTATTTTCTGATTTGTGCAAACATTTGTTTATTTATTCCTTTAATCAACAATGAAATAATTAGTGTTGGACTTCACAGTATTTTGAAAATCCAAGTCTATTAATTAATTATCTTAGGTAAAAATTAATTGCTCAAATATTGAAAATATTCCATTAGTGTTCAGTCACCTCCATCTAGCCTCACAGGATGAAGCTACAGCAAAAATGACTGTTTCAGTTTTTAAAATATTTTAAAAACAAGTGTATAATTTAGCTCAATCAGTAAGTCCCAGAGAAAAAAAGTGGGCCAGTAACATCAGAAAGCTAGGACTGGGTATTTTCAAGTTCTTTAATTCAATCATGAAGCAAAGTGATTTGAATTTCTGTGTTATATGTGTTTTGTGACTATTAAAAAAAAAGCCTTGGTGGGGCCGGCGCTGTAGCACAGTGAGTTAATGCCTTGGCCTGAAGTGCCGGCATCCTATATGGGCACCGGTTCTGGTCCCGGCTGCTCCACTTCCCATCCAGCTCTCTGCTATGGCCTGGGAAAGCAGTAGAGGGTGGCCCAAGTCCTTGGGCCGCTGCACCTGTGTGGGGGACCCGGGGGAAGCTCCTGGCTCCTGGCGTTGGATCAGCACAGCTCTGGCTTTTGTGGCCAATTGGGGAGTGAACCATTGGATGGAAGACCTCTCTCTTTCTCTGCCTCTCCTCTCTCTGTGTAACTCTGACTTTCAAATAAATAAATAAATAAAAATTAAAAATAACCCTCTCTCTGAGTATTGTTCAGCTTTTCCCTAAAGTGCATGGTGTACGTCAACTATATCTTCATTCAAGAATTAGAGAAAGAAATAATACTTTTAAAGTTATTGTCTCTTTTTGTATTTATATCAAATGGAAAAATTTGAAAAAGCCTTTTAAGAACCATTCCTTATAAGCTTAAAATATAGTATTGTGTCAGAGCCGGCGCCGTGGCTCAATAGGCTAATCCTCCACCTTGCGGCGCCGGCACACCGGGTTCTAGTCCCGGTTGGGGCGCCGGATTCTGTCCCGGTTGCCCCTCTTCCAGGCCAGCTCTCTGCTATGGCCAGGGAGTGCAGTGGAGGATGGCCCAGGTGCTTGGGCCCTGCACCCCATGGGAGACCAGGAAAAGCACCTGGCTCCTGGCTCCTGCCAGGATCAGCGCGGTGCGCCGGCTGCAGCGGCGGCCATTGGAGGGTGAACCAGCGGCAAAGGAAGACCTTTCTCTCTCTCTGTCTCTCTCTCTCACTGTCCACTCTGCCTGTCAAAAAAAAAAAAAAAAATATAGTATTGTGTCTTTCAGATGAATACATAGTAGTTTTATATTGACTATTTTTTGCCTGGTGCTAGTTAACTTGATCACATGACCCAATTCTTTATAGATTGAAAAACAGGATCCCAAAGGCATAAAAGTTTTTTCAAAAAATTTATTTGCTTAAGTGTTCTTACACCAAGCTAAGCAAGTAAATGTTGAATAATAAAAGAACATTTTCTAGTACAAGGCATTTTTAGAGGGTTGTTGCCTAAATTATGCACTTGAACCTTTAAGATGCAATGCATTACCTTGCATGGATACCTTGGAACTGCCTCATTCTGTCAATATCATCTCTGTTTATATGCTATTTTTGTCTCCTCCACAGAATTATTCATCCTAGAGAGCAGGGGGAATGGCTGCCACTATTAAGTTGAACTGAAATACTTTCCAGAGATGGCAGAAATAATGAGAGTATGTCTTTCTGTTCCTAGAGAATGGGCAAATGTATATCCAGAAAAAGCCAACCATGTACCCACCCTGGGACAGCACTTTTGATGCCCACATCAACAAAGGAAGAGTGATGCAGATCATCGTGAAGGGCAAGAATGTAGACCTCATATCGGAAACCACCATAGAGCTCTACTCGCTGGCCGAGAGATGCAGAAAGAACAACGGGAGGACTGAAATATGGGTAAATGTCTGAGCTGCAAGCTTCATGTCAAGCCATTTAGGGATAATAGCTGATGACTAGCGCCCTAGCACTTCCTAGTGGGTGGCAGTGATTGCTCATTAGGGACTATAGAACAGATTTAATTTCTATGAAAGGAGAAAAAGGTCTCTAAGGCTATGAAAAAGTGCTATTGATTTTCTCAAAGTACGCTTGCAAGTATTGCAAATCCCTCTTAATTTAGGAACCCAGTTGTCTATTTATCAAGATACCAAATGTGAGAGGCTAAAACAAAGACCTACTTCAAGTCTGATCTTTTCACTCCATACTTTGTCAGCATCTATATTTTGTCAGCCATAATGAATTAATTTATCTTACTTTGTACTAAGAAACACCTCAATTCAGGTGAATAAAAATTATAACTGCTTGATTAACAAATGTTTAGACATGCAAAGGAACAACTAAAATAGGAAAGTATAAAAAATTCTAACAGGGTGGACACTGCAGCATGGCAGGTTAGGCTGCCACTTCGACACCTACATTCTATATTATCATGCCTGGTTAAAGTCCTGGCTGCTTCACTCATAATCAGCTTCCTGGTAATGCATCCTGAGGCCACAGATGATGGCTTGAATCCTTGCCAGCCAGAGACCTGGAGAGAGCTTCCGTCTCCTGGCATTGGCTTGGCCCATCCACAACTATTGTGAAAATCTGAGGAGTAAACCAGGCACCAGAAGACATAAGATTCTCTCTTCTCTCTCTCTCTCTCTCTCTGAATTTTAATTGACACTGATATGGAGACAACAGGTGGGTTTTTTCCCCTTTCTTCCATTGGAATCTGTTTCTTAAAATTAGTTGCTCTATTCAAGTCTTTTTTCTCAGATTTGTATTGCATCTCCATAGACACCATCCTATTTCTAACCAGCACCTTGAGATGTAACTTCTTTTTTTTTAATTTATTTATTTGATAGGTAGAGTTATAGACAGTGAGAGAGAGAGAGATAGAGGGAAAGGTCTTTCTTTCATTGGTTCACTCCCCAAATGGCCGCCATGGCTGGCACTGCACCGATCTGAAGCCAGGGCCAGGTGCTTCTTCCTGGTCTCCGGTGCGGGTACAGGGGCCCAAGCACTTGGGCCATCCTCCCCTGCGTTCCCGGGCCACAGCAGAGAGCTGGACTGGAAGAGACTAGAACCCGGCGTCTGTATGGAATGATGGCCCCACGGGCAGAGGATTAACCAAGTGAGCCACAGCGCCAGCCCCGACACTTAACTTCTGCTTGCCCAAGGTTGCAACTGCTTGCATGATTATCTCATGTTCACTCCACTAAAACAGGCTGGAATATTGCTTCATATGGGTTTCCTTTTCCAGGGTTTAATTTCTACCATCACCACTAATTCCTGCATTGTCATGACATTGAAGTCACCTGGTACCAATATCACCACTTCATTTGAGAATGGACACCTTGCTCATAGCTCCTCTGCTTCCATTTTTGCCTCCACCTATCTGACTTATTCCATGAGTCTGAGAGAAGTGATGTGCATACTGGATGTTGAATGCACTTCCCTCTGCATGAATCTATTTAAGCTCATATGAAAATTTATAGTTGGCCAAGTAGTAAAAACTTGCTTTGTCACGAAATTCTGGGAATAGTGATGCTGTGACAAGGGTATTGCTATTGTGTCAGATTTCCACGGACCTTTAAAGGCTTTGTGACTTATACAAGATCATACAACCAGGAAATTATTTTGCCAATCAGTCCTGGGTTCAGCAGGAGGACACTGCTTATTGCGAATGACTCAGATTTGTCTTCTTTCTCCTTTTTTAGTCTATTATTGGCCCAGTATTAGAAAATCCTCAAATTGCCCTGAATTTGTCCTTTTTTTCTCCTTATGCATCTTCCCTTAACATGGTACTTTATTCTGGTCCCTTCTACGTAATGATGCTGAAATACATGTATTATCCCTTCCCACACCAATCTACTTAAAACTTCCTGTAATAGCTCATCTAGCACGTCCCCAAGAAATCACTTCTTCCTTGTGAAAGAAAAAGACCGCTCCCATTGGACACCCGGATTAACCTGGAATGTGTGCATCGCTCCTGGAAGGGAAGGGAAAGGTCTGTGGGCACCCTAGAAGCAGGATTTATCTTTCCTTCCAACAGACCTACTTTCCCCCAGGGAGTTGGTACTAGGGTCTGTGATTCTTTATCATGACTAAAATCAGTATATGCCTTTATTACCACCCTTCAGATAAGCAGCCTCACGGGCAAGAAAACCAAACAATATGCTACAGAATTTTGTTTCTTCGCTATGAAAATTTTGATCTTCGTGTTGCAGTAATGAACAGCTGAAGAGTTTTAACAGAAGAAAGGCTGTCTTCAGGAATTCTGAAGTAGTCTGATGATAAGAAGTGTTGTGCAAAGGGACAACCATTGTTTCTATATTGGAAATCTCTTTTCTTTGGGTTAAATATTCTGCTGCTATGAAAGTAGACAGTGTTCATGTTATTGAACTCTGTTGGTCAGTTTCTCATCCTGATATTTCTTTCCTTCGCTTAACCAGCTGGAACTGAAACCTCAAGGCCGGATGCTAATGAATGCAAGATACTTCCTGGAAATGAGTGGTAAGTAACATTTCTTCTTCCTGTATGGGAGTGAGGAGGGAATGGCCTTCTCTTCAAGTGCAACTTATGTTCCTATTGCAATTGTCATAGAAAAGAATTAGGAGAAAAGGGAAACTTATGGAATTTTCTTTACATGCCTAGTGGTTCTCAAGCATGAATTGAAAATACAGTATCTGGGCCCAATATAGAAACATAAAATATGAAGACCACTGTCGCTCCCCCTGTTCGCGGAGGAACGACACAGGACCCTGCACTGTTCTTTTGCCTGCTCGGCCCTCCCCGGGTTTGCTGCTGGTCCTTCCCGGGTTGGCTGCCGTCCCTCCACGTCCGTGGAGGGGTGGGCCCCCCTGCCACTTTCCCCACTTCCGTGGGGGGAGCAGCACACTGCCGGCCGCCAGCTCTCCCGGGGGCTGCTCAGACGTTCCTCAGGTGTTCCTGGTGCATGGTGTCTCTCTCCTCCTTTATAGTCCTCTTCCACCAATCCCAACTCTGCTACCCACACGCCAAGCACGCTGCTCTCCTCCAATCAGGAGCAGCTCCTGCAGCTTGTCAAGTTGGTGAGAGGCAGCTGGGTAGAAGCTGTTTACTCCTCTCCCAGAGCCATATTGTGGGAGAGCAGATGCATAGAATAAGTCTTAATTCCAGTAACTTAGTCTAGTCCGAGTTGCTCCCCACAACCACTAGTTCTTAAATTGCATGAATTCATTCGGTGCTTTTATTGTCTTCTTTATTTTAATTTTGTAATATAATATAAATTCAAAAGGTTTGATTGTATGTATGCATTTCTATGAATATATGATATGCTATAACAAGCTAGCATACTATCACATAGTATGAAATAAATTTAAAAACTTATATTTTCCATAAAACCAGTGGGAAAATGCTAATGCTTAAAATCAAGCAGTTAACGGAGGGGTGAAAAATGCATTGCTAAACAGTTTTGGTTCCATTTCACACACAGACTTTGGTCTCAGAAATTGAAGTTACAGTTTCTGGTGCTTGTGATAGCCTATCCGTGCTGTTCAGATGAATCAAATGCTACTGCTCATAAAATCCTAAACCCCAGAAAGGACATGTGAAGTTAACTAATGGTAGACTGAGTTCATTGTTTCCCAAGTTAGTTTTACTATGATTGATTATCCTGTATGCCAAATCTTTGGCACCAGAAGACTTTAAGATTTTAGATTTGGGATTTTAGACTATCTGAAGATACATAATGAGATTTCTTGGGATTATTGAAACGCAAAATTTATTTATGTTTTACATATACTTTATATCCATAACATGAAGGTAATTTTATACAATATTTTAAATACTTTTGTGCATGAAACAAAGTTTCATGGACTGCAAATCTCCACATGCAGCATGTTCTCACTTAGAAAAAATGTTGTATTTTGGAACATTTCAGAGTAGGGATGCTCAAGCTGTACTAACAAGAAATGTGTTTCAGTATAAAGATTTATAGTGCTCTCTGGGCTGTCATTTAGCACATATTCCTTATATGTTCAAATTCAAATACAGCAGAGAAAGCAGTATGACAAAACAATCAGGGAAAACTTGAGCAGTCATCAGATATTAAGAGATAGTTATTCATTTTTTATGACTGATAGTGATGTTCTGGTTACAATTTTAAACAGGAGTCTTAAAGTTTTATAAATACACAAGGTAAAATTTATAGATAATGTAATGAGACTATGGATTTGCTTTAAAAGTAATCCATTGGTATAGGTGGGGATATGAACGGTCATATATTGGGAGTGGCTTTGAATTCACCATTGTTGAAGCTGGTTGATTGGTACGTGGAAATTGATTTTAGTATTTGCTCAGCTCTTGTGTATATTTCAAATTTTCCATAGTAATGTTTTTTTTTGAAAATAAAAAAAAGCCTCAAGGAGGGAAATATATGCTCTGAGCTTTTTTTTTTTTCTCTTGGAGGCTATAGATACACAGTACATACAATTATACTATTTCTGAGTTGGCTCAATGAGATAGAGTAACTGTAGAGCATCTGAATAACCAAATGTGTATGCAAAGTGTCAGTGAGGTCTTAATTGATAACACCAATGATGTTTAATTCCTTGAGTAAGAAAAAGTATACTCTTCCCAATAGTTCACAATGTGGCCCAATGTAAGATTTAAAAAGTCCTCCATCCTCGAAGTGCAAGCAATTTTAGTAAATGATTTATGGGTCCCCACTTTGAAAATCAATTTCATAGATCGTGGTCCTATTACTATGGACCTTTTCTATTAGAATGGGAGAGCAAATTCAGGTGGGGACAAAAACAATATTTCACAAACAATAAGCACATGCCCTTTTCTAGAGAATAAAATATAGTGTTTAATATTTTTTGTAATTAGATCCAAATTGAGACAACGTCTCTAAATCATTAAATCTAAAAAAATTTTACTTTTAGCAGCCAATATTATGGCATAACCCAGCTAGAAAATTCCTTATTAATGACAAGAAGAAAGGTATAGGATTTCATTCAATTTTAAGAATGTCTCTTCTGTTAAAAAAATAGTCTTCTGTGGGGGTATTTGCGATAGTAGTTGAGACACTATTTGGTATGTCCATATTCCATATCAGAGCGCCTTGGTTCAAATCTCGGTTCCCTTCCCAATCCCAGCTTCCTGTTAGTGTGTATGTTAGGAAGCTCTAAGTGTTGGTGCAAGTACTTGGGTCCCTGGCACAAACTTAGGAGACTCAAGTGAATGCTTTGGCCTGGCCCAACTAGAGTTGTTGCGAGCATTTCAGGAGTGAACTAGCAGATAGGGTCTCTCTCCCTCTCTCTCTCTCTCTCTCTCTCTGCTTTTCAACCAAAAAAGAAAGGAAGAAAGGGAGGGAGGGAAAAGGGAGAAGGGGAGGGAAGAAAACAGTCTTCTGCAGGATTTAGAAAAGCGAGACATGAGTTCTTAAACTCAGGGAATGCAAGCCCAGATTGGAGAGGCAGTACATATACATATTAAACAATTAAATAAGAATTATATCCTAAACCACGTTAATATTGATTAACCAGGGGATCACTGTGAGTTGCCTTCATTCTAGAATATTCCATGGTAGAGCATTGAAAGGCAGAATTGAGATTTACAAAGAGGGATCACCTAAGAGGCTTGAGTAAAGCCACGAGAGTGGGGAGTGTGAGGAGAAGAACAGGGGTATTCCAGTGGGCTCTGCTACAAAGAGTCCGGGGGATGGATGCCAGAGGGTGTAGAGACCAGGCAAGAGGAGTGTGTACACTCGGTGCATGGCTTGAACTAATGGGAAGAGTATACTCTCATTCAAGCAATTTAATGTTATTGGCTTATAAAACTTCTCATGCTGTGGAGAAGTGGTGAGAATCTGGCCTGAGGGTATAGTTATAGGAAGTAAATGAATGAAAGAATCTAAAAGACAATAACAGCAAGATTTCACAGAAGAATTCATGGAAGGGAATGGTGTACATATTATGAGTACATTGTTAAGGGTGCTTTATACTTCTTTAAAAATGAAAGCTGAATGACCAGAAAATATATTGAAATTATCTGTTAAAATAGGTAGATTGGGAAATTATGACAGGTGAGGTGGAGATGGTGGATATGGGAAGAGAAGGCAGGTAAATGAGGATTAAATATTCAACTTGGGCAGCATTGAAGATAACATTGTGTCTCCCAAAACTCTCCTCAGAGGAAACCCACATGGAAGTAAAGGGTTCTGCTGTCTGCCCACAGATCACTCTGTTTTTTCTTTCTAACAATGCCCTCTTTACTGATTGATGTGCTGGAATCACCTTTCCTTTCTTTCTTCTCCTCCCATCTCTCTTGCATCTTCAGAATTCACCATCACCTCTGACACCCCTACTGCCTGTTTCTTCTTGGACTTTCTATTCATTCAGTAACCAGGCCTCACCCACAAGTCCAAGCTTGGAATTCTCCATCCCCAAAGACCCAGCCTCAACCTTGTTCCCTCAGAGCCCTTCCTCTCACTCAAGAAGGACCAGACTTCACCCTAACTTAGTTCTCTTTCACCTCCTGTACTAGCCCATTCTTGCTACTAACCCCCTGTCTGGCTTGGCCCCAGTGCTAAGCCCCTGCCAATGTCCAACTGTCATCTGTTTCTTCTTCCACCACAGATACTCTAATCTCCAAATGTTGCATTCTGTTCTCTCACTCTTCGTGGCTTTCCTAGCAATAAAGCATTTAGCTGAGTCCATTACAGTTGAGACTGCTAGTTGATGTTCCTGTTTCAGACATATATTGACCTCTTGGTAGACCTCTCCAATCAGATTTCATGTCAGTACTATAAATTCTGTTCAAATAGTGGCCAGCACTGTGGTGTAGCAGGTAAAACACCGCCAGCCATGCCAGCATCCCATATGAGCACTGGTTCTAGTCCTGGCTGCTCCATTTCCAATCCAGCTCTTCGCTTTGACCTGGGAAAGCAGTAAAAGATGACCCAGGTGCTTCTGTCCCTGCACCCACATGGGAGACCCAGAAGAAGCTCTTGGCTCCTGGTATTAGATTGACCCAGCTCCCTCCAGCCATTGCAACATTAGGAGAGTGAACCATCAGATGGAAGACCTCTGTCTCTCTGCCTCTGCCTCTCTGTAACTCTGCCTTTCACATAAATAAATCTTAAACAAAATTCTGTCAGAAGTAAATTATAAATTTGAAAGTGTCCAAGTTAAGTGCCCAATATTTCTCATAATTTTCACCAGTAACCTTTTCTAGTGTACTCACTATCTTAGTTAATTATAACTCCCTCCACAAAACCTGGGAGCAATTTTTATAGCTTCTCTTCACCTCTCACATCAGTCAAGAGTTTCTATCCATGTTGTCTAATCATTTTTTTAGTGTCTGCTTACATAATTAACTTTTTGCCATATTCCATTCATTCTGTGCCGCTAGAATACACTATGGCAAAGGCCAATCTGACCAGGCCATGCCTCCGCTCCACTTCTTCCCCTACCCCATTACAGCCTCTCAGTGTTTATAATTTATCTACAGGAAAATGTTCAGACTTATCCGATACTTGCGCATCTTCTGGACAGGGCCACAAATCTGCTTTGCACTGTCCACCCCTGCAATAATCGACACCTGCAGGACCCCCGCAGCTTCATCCTGAGTGTCCTTACCTCTGCGTCCTTCCCTGTTCTCTTGTACCTCCAGAGAATGTCTGAGCTTTCTCCCACACATTAGTATGCATTGCTTATCATTCAGAACTCAGCTCAGAAATCATCCCTGCCCATATCCAACTTGTCCAGTTTTCCTGTCTCTCGCCTCCATTTGCTTCTACCTGCCTTAGCTGGTGTAGTTCTTCGCCTTCAAGGTTCCAGAGCATCCTGTGAGTATTTGTGTTCTGATATTTGGTATGCTGGTTGCCTTTCCAACTCCTTGCAGGACAGTTGTGGATGAACCACATCTTTTCTATCTCTTTAACTCCCATGCCAGGTTACTGGCTGGACGCATAGGAAGTTCTTGATGAATGTGGAGCTTCTCATCCTCTTTGGTTTCTGAAGGTATCCTTCTCTCACTGTCGGAGGTTGACATTGGCCCAGTATAGTTGGTAGAGACTCCATTTTTGTCTCTGCACTCTGGGACACAACTGCTGCCTCACACACTCTCTTCTTGTTTCTCTGCCTCAGAGACATCTTTCTCTATTTGGGTCTCAAGCCTGCCTCCTCAGCAGCCTTTCTCCATCAACACACTTCCTCTCTGACATCTCCAACGGCTCCTTCTCTTTATGATCTCCTCCTTTTCGCCAACACATACTGAATTAAGGCATCTTCCTGAGTTTTGAAAGAGAGGTCTCCTTTTTACCATGTTGCCTCCATGAATTCTTCTTTTCTCTATTTCTCTGAGATATCCGCCAGAGGAAAAAAAAAATAGATTTTATAAACTGTTCACCACTCCCTCAATTCTTAAATCTTAAGAATCTGGTTTGTATTTTGAGTAATAAATTTCCCAAGATTATGCATCCTCAGAACAACTTGCCCATCTCTTAGCCTATAATCTAGTTGACACTACTACGTCTCCCAAAGCCAAAAACCCCATTCTTCGGGCTTGCCTCATGGGATAGCATGCAGGTTTCCCTCTTAAGTGTTGAACTGCTTCCCTTTGGTTTCTTTTGTAATTTCTTTTTATACCTCTTACAAAATATGTGTTAGTATAGCTCAGAGTGTTTTTTGTACTGTCGTAAACTGCCTCTTACAGTCTCTCTGACTTGACTGTTAGCTGCTCAAGGGTTAGGAATGGCATCTCATATTTCTTCCTAACACTCAGCACAGCAGTTTAGCCAGAGCTGCTGAGAAAACATTTGTGGTTTGATGGACTGCAAACAAGTGATAGATTAGGCTAAATAAAAATTAGGAGCAATCAGTATAAAAGAAATGAGCAAATATAAAAACCAGTGAACTTATTCAAAACAGTAAGAAAGAGAGCAAATTACTTTAGAAACAAACACCATCAATGCCAAAAGAATTTTCAAAATTCTATATTTATATACATTTACTGTCTTATAATGGTTGGAATGGTCAGTGATAAAATCTTAGGAAAGAGTACTTTCTGATATTTTTAAAATTTCAGTAGTCCAGTGCATAGACTATTATCTACCATCTATCTATTATATGTCTATCATTTATCTATATCTGTCTATCTCTATCTACCTATCACAACAAGTCAGTTAGGATTCACAGAATAATTCCATTCCCTGAACTTAAAAGTATTTTTAAAGATTTATTTATTTGAAAGGCAGAGATATATAGAGAGAAGGAAGAGAGAGAGAGAGAGAGAGAGAGAGAGAGAGAGAGAAAATCTTCCATTTGCTGGTTCACTCCCCAAATGGCTGCAACACCCAGGGCTGGGCCAGGCCAAGACCAGAAGCCAGGAGCTTCTTCTAGCTCTCCCATATGGATGCAGGGGCCCAAAGAGTTGGGGTATCTACTGCTACTTTCCCAAGCACATTAGCGGGGAACTAGATTGGAAGTGGAGCAGCCAGGACTTGAACCAGCACTCATAGGAGATGCCAACATCGCATGTGGAGTCTTAACCTTCTGCTCCACAGTGACGACCTCTAAAAGTATTTTTAAACTTCTTTCATTTCATTACATTTGGACCAAAATAGAAGTGAGTCAAATGTTACTCTGCCATTCACATGTTGTAAATTGATCCCTACTCTTGAAACAGCAGTAGAAGAAGGTGATTAACTCAATGACCCTGAATTTGGCTCTTCATTCACCACGCCTAATTTATCTCCAGCCTCATTCCAAGTAAAAAGACCCAAATAAGCTAACCTTAAAATATTAGGTGGCTAGACTCCCCTGGAAGAGATATCTACTTGAAAAACCCCTCTGCTGTCTACTGAGTGTGTTTCTGGTCTCAGCACTATTAGGGAAGGGAAAATAACATATCCTGGCAGGAGCATTTGCCTCAAATATATGTCAGGCCTCTGTGTTGCTTAGCTAGAATGGAAGTAATTTGGTTTAAATATTGTTAATTCTTTATACTTGTGAAATATGATGGGCCTTTTATTCGTGATTAAACTTCCTTTTTTTGTTGACATAAATTTTGTTCCTTTTATTTGTCAGTAGATTTATTTGCTAGTTATGTTTTTTTTTTTTCTGTCTGTAAAATGGAGGGTTTTTTTTAAACCTTTTTACTTAATGAATGCAAATTTCATAGATACAGCTTTAGGAATATAGTGCTTCTTCCCCCCATACCCACCCTCCCACCTCCACTCCTGTCTCACCTCCTACTCCCTCTCCCATTCCATTCTTCACTAAGATTCACTTTTAATTAACTTTATATACAGAAGACAAGGTTTCAACAGTTTGCACACACACACACACACAATGTATAAAGTACTGTTTGAGAACAAGTTTTGCAGTTAATTCTCATAATTCAACTCATTAAGGACAGAGGTCCTACATGGGAAGTAAGTGCACAGTGACTTCTGTTGTTAATTTAACAATTAACACTCTTATTTATGATGTCAGTGACCTCCCGAGGCTCTTGACATGAGCTGCCAAGGTTATGGAAGCCTTTGGAGACTGCAAGCTCTGTCACTATTTAGACAAAGCCATGAGCAAAGTGGAAGTTCCTCTCCTCCCTCCCGAGAAAAGTACATCCTTCTTAGATGTCCCCTTCTTTCCACTGGGGTTTCACTCACAGAGATTCTTCATGTAGGATATTTTTTGCCACAGTATCTTGGCTTTTAATGCCTGAACTGCTCTCATGGGCTTTTCAGCCACATCTGAATGCCTTAAGAGTATTACTTAAAGTGATTGTCATTCTATGAAAATCTCCTGTGTAGACTGCTTCCCATGTTGGACATACCCTCCTTTTTAATTCTGTCTATTATTATTACCAGGCATTTGATACTATTTATATGATCTCTTTAACACTTAATCCTATCTATATGTTCACTTTAACACTTAATACGATCACTTTAACATTTAAGATGACATTTTTACCACCAATTTTAATGAGATTGGAGACCTGTGACAAGTTTTTAAACTGTACTCTTAGAAGTAAGTCTGTAGGACTGTATGCAGAACTATACAGCTTTACAAACTTCCTCCTCCCTTTCTTATTCACCCTCTTATTTTCTACTGAAATCTATTTTAAATTGACTTTTTATGCATATGATTAACTCTAACTTAAGACTTCAACATATAGTATGAAGAAGAGAAAAGAAAAAATAAATAAAAAATTAAAAACTGTTCCTCAAAGTGTTATTTCTCAAAGTGTCAATTTCACTTCTACAGCTTTCCTTTTAGGTGCACTATTAGTTCTCACAGATCAGGGAGAACATATAATATTTGTACCTTTGGGACTGGCTTATTTCACTAAGTAACAACTTTTCCAAATTGATCCGTTTTGTTGCAAATGACTAGATTTCTTTTTTTTTTTTTACTACTACATAGTATTCCACAGTATACATATCCCATAATTTCTTTATCCAGTCTTTGGTTGATGGGCATAAACTTCATTTTTTGGTACTTAAAAAATAAAAGTAATAGAAAAAGTAATTCATAGAATTTTTAATTTATACAATTATGATTCTAGGGGTTATAGTCATTAAATTCATTATCACTACTTTGGTGATTGTTATTTTCATTGTTCTTTTTGTTTTCTTATTTACCATGTTATTCTGTATCTGGTTACCCATGATTACCTTATCATTTTGTGGTTTGGGGAGTCCTGGGCTTCAGTCAGGGAATCAAAAGTATTCTCAGAAATTAACTAACTTGAGGCTGACGTTGTGGTGCAGCAGGTTAAGCTGCTGTCTTCAGTGCCGGCATCCCATATGGGCACCGGTTCAAGTCCTGGCTGCTCCACTTCTGATCCAGCTCCCTGCTAATGCGTCTGGGAAAGCAGCAGAGGATGGCCCAAGTGTTTGGGCCCCTGCATCCTTGTGGGAGACCTAGATGAAGCTCCTGGTTCCTGACTTCGGATTGGCCCAGCTCCAGCCGTTGCAGTCATTTGGGCAGTGAACTAGTGGATGAAAGACCTCTCTCTTTCTCTCTCTCTGTAACTGCCTTTCAAATAAATAAATAAATCTTTAAAAAATTGCTAACTTACAGTCTTTCAGTTTTTTGGGAAGAGGCCATCTAAGCATAGGATACTGTGGATAGTTACTACCCCAAACAACTTTACCTGTATCTGTGAATCCTGGTGGCATTGAATAGATGTGAATTTGCTGGTTTGATGTAGGTTACTGGGTAATGCACCAGAGGATGTCTATATATTAAACAAAATTTGCAATGCATTGTTAGTGGTCTATCAATTTTCTGCCTCTTTCCACATTGATCACTACAGTCTGTGGGGTATCTGATCACTATGACATCAAAAACCAGAATGTACACAGCTTCTCTGTGTGTTTTGGCCTCACACACAAGACTAGCCAACTCCCTTCAGTCTTCAGTAGTCTGTTTAAAAACAACCAAATGTAGAGCATCTGAGCACTTCGGAAACACCACTGTCAAGTTGCTGTCAGTAACCACATTGTTCTCTAGAATCACAGACAGAAAGCCAGTTGCCACTTCCTGCCTTTTCTGGCTTACTCATCATTTACAGTGCAGAAGAGAGGTTGATAAATAATTTGAAAGTTCTGACACCTGATTTTAAAAACTGAAAGGGGGTGGCTTAGTCCACTAAAGAAGAGTGAGAGACTAAGCCAGCAATTCACCTTCACTGTTTAAATTCTCTAAAATATATCCTATGATATTTCTGTATCATAGAATTAAGGAAAGAAGCATTAGTATAAAAGTTCTTTGTTAGCCATGATTCTACTGTCTGTGGTTGCAGTTTCTCACAGTCAATCATGGTGAAAAATATTAGATGAAAAATTCCAGAAATTATTCATACATTTTAAGTTATGCACTGTTCTGAGTAGCATGATGAAATCCCATGTCATCCCACTCTGTCCCTCCCAGGACACAGATTCTCCCTTTGTCCAGCATATCTACTCTGTATACCCTACCCACCCATTAGTTGCTTAGTAGCCAACTTGATTATCAGATCTACCATTGAAGTATCACATTGCTTGCATTCAAGTAGCCCTTATTTTACTTAATGACCCCAAACTACAAAAGTAATAATGCAAAGGAAGTACTAGAGCATAAAATGGGAAAGAACAGATTAACTCTGATACTGAAAAAGCAAATCATACAATTTATGGAAAACAGAACTAAAAGATAAGCTTATTGTAGTGCAGAAATTTTTGAAATCCATTCCTATAAGGGCATCTTTAAAAAGTTTGTGGAAAGTGCATTGTATGAAAAAGCTATGTATAGATTTCAAAATTGTTGCCTCATATGTGATAATGCTGCAGGAAGCATAGGAAATAAATAAACCAGATAAAGATAGGTTTGAAATTATCTGTGGTTTCAGTTTTCAGCTGAGGCTCTTGGAACCTTTACCCCAAGTACAACAGGGGACTACCATACTGTACTTACCTTAATAATTGTCTGGAATTGGATTGGTCTGGGTACCCAGTGCTGATCCACTTCTGTTCCTTAGCCAACCACCACCCTCCTCTCCTAGCTGTGACTATCTTATTAAAGAACTTCATCTTGTCCCCGATTCTATTCCCTTAGATACAAAGGACATAAGTGAATTTGAGACTGAAGGCTTCTTTGCTTTGCATCACCGCCGAGGAGCCATCAAGCAGGCTAAAGTCCATCATGTCAAGTGCCACGAGTTCACTGCCACCTTCTTCCCTCAACCCACATTTTGCTCTGTCTGCCACGAGTTTGTCTGGTAGAGTAATTTTACTTCAAGCTTGGGTTTTCCATTTTATTGCATCCTCTTAAACCACCAAGCCTGGTGTGTTCCACCATGGGGGAGGGCACTAGAGAGCTGTCATTGGCCTCGCCTGAAGTTGAGAAGGTTGAAAGGGTGTGATTCAATCAAAGAGTTTCATAGTGCGGCTCTTGTAGAGCAAGGTGCTTTCAGGCAAAAGGCCCAAAGGACCTTAGTGTCTGACTGAACAGAAGTTTGCTGGTGATCAAAAGGGAGATGCAGAAGAGAGAGGTATCTTTATCTTTATTACAGGCACAGTTCGGTTTTATAGCCCAAACTCCCATCACCTCAACAACCCAGCCGTGCTGCTGCTACTGTTTGCAACAGGCAGCACTTTCCATTGAAACTAATGCCTTAAGTGCCTATGAGGCTCTTGGGTGTCTTTACAGCCTTGGAGACTAGGTTAAGCCTCAGCAACCACATAGCAAAGGATATGAGAGAGGGGAGACTTGAAATGACTCCCATTTCTGGTTCTCAGCATCCTGGAGGATTAAAGGATGCTCTTCTATTTGAGTATTGCAGAATCTGTGACTACACAGCTCCCGCTTAATGAGGGTAACCAAAAGTCAAACAGACTTTTGATGGCCTTTCATCAGCCTGTTTTCATCTAATTGATTGAACCTCTTTCCTTTTTAATAACAACTGTTACTCTGGAATTGTGCGTAAGCTTGAAATGTTGTTGGTTGCAAATATTCTGAGGCACTCAGAAACAGGAAAGAATGTGTGCTATTGTTGTCTTTGTTCACTCTAGTGAGTTTGTTCATCTAAGTGAGACAATGAAGTTTTAAGTGGAACACATTGACATTTGCTACTAGGAACCTGGGATGATTTTCTCGTCATGCATTTTAATCTCCACAGCATTTGTTAGGAAAATGCAAAAAAACAAAAACAGGTCCTTGCTTATTTATCAGACTTTTAACAAAGCACTTTGAAATAAAAACAGAATGTTAATTTAATGCTCCTTGCAAATGATTTGCCGGGGCTGCTGGTTCTCTGTGAGCTTAGGAAGTTATGCAATTTCAGTCACCTCTGAAATGCTTTTGCTGCTGATGTTGATGTGAATATTGCAATAAATGAGTCATGTACTTTATTGCAGGGGTCTGAACAAACAGGGCTACCAGTGCCGACGTAAGTAAGAAGAACTTCTGCTGTGTGCTCTTCATTCTTTGAATTTAGTTGCTCCTTAACTCCTGAAAATCTTAAGTTGCAATGATTTCTTTCCAGAATGTAATGCAGCAATTCACAAGAAGTGTATCGATAAAGTTATAGCCAAATGCACAGGATCAGCTATCAATAGCAGAGAAACTATGGTAAGTATTATTTAGACTCCTTTCTTTGTCTAACATGCAAAGATTTTATCCTGACATTACATTTTGCAGCCTAATTCTTTTCAATAATGCCTGAATTTGACTCCTTACGCTTATTAATGGCCATCAATCTCCCTAAAACTCATTTCCTCTCCAATAATGATAATTACCAAATCACCAAAACCAGAGATGAATAAGAAAAGCACAGTAAGAATTTTAATGACTATTTTTTTTTTCAGAAAACCATAATAGCAAGTGGTCAGAAAGCAGTTTCAATTAATTGCATGAGAAATGCATAACAAGCTGTAAGTGACAGTTGAAGAGTAAATAAGGGTTAAGCTTGTGCTTATAAACTAAATTGAAAGTATGTCACTGTGAAAATTAAAAGAAAAATAAGTAAGAGGTAGGGAGGGGTGGGAGCCAGGTGGTGAGGGAATGGAGGGTGAGAAGTATCATTGTGCTTATGAAATACATAAGTTTTTCCTCTTATATAAATTTAAAAGATTTTAAGAATAAATAAAGGCAAATGATTATCTAATGCAGAGTTATAAGCTTGTACAAGATTAGAAAGATAGGGTAACAGAAGTATAATTCTTCTAAGGAGAAGCAAATATTTATTTCAGAATGAACTTTGAGGTACAATCTGAAAACAAGTTAGATTTTAGCTCATGGAGAAGGGAACCTGAGCTAGAAAGTTGGGCAGCTTATTATTATGATAGAGTTTGACTTCCTTCTCCCATCATTTTCTTCTGTGTTTGACAGATACTTATTGAGTATCTCGTGCATGGACAATCCTAGACAGGTACAGCATGGCCCAAAACAGACATGGTCTTGCCCTTAAGAGCTTTCCTGAAAAAGTGGAGAAACAGATAATAAACAGTGTATAGTTTTGATTTGTTAAGTGTATGAGGATTGTAAACAAAGTGGAAGGATGGAGACTAACCCAGTGGCCTAGTCAGATGGAGGTCTGAGAATCTGCTTACGGGAGATTGAAATATAGAACTGAAAGGTGAAGGGGCAGTTAGATAAGCAGCAGGAGGAATGCTGCAGACAGACCAGAGGAGTCTGAAATGGGGTAGAGCTCAGCATGTTCTGGGATTTGAAATGAGACCAGTATGGCTAGAGCTGCAAGGACCTGAGAGAGAGAGAGGAGATTGGACACCAGATAGGCATCATGGCAGAACTGGGACCAACACAAGACTTCTTTGGCTCCTGGAAAAGTGATTAAACTTTATTTTACTTTAGTAGAAAGCCCACACTCTATGATGCTGTAGGGGAAGATAGTCTGTTAAGGGAATGTAAAACCAGAGGAGCTGGCATTGCGGCACAGCAGGTTAAGTCAAAAAGCCTGAGATGCCAGCATCCCATATGAGCATCTATTTGAGTCCCGATTGCTGCACTTCTGATCCAGCTCCCTGCTAATACAACTGGGAAAGCAGCAGAAGATGGGCCAAGTGTTTGGGACCCTGATAACAATGTGGGACACCCAGATACAGTTCCAGGCTTCTGGTTTGGGCCTGGCCCAACTCTGGCCATTGCATAACTGCAATGGGGGAATGAACCAGCAAATGGAAGATATATCTCTCTCTCCTCTCTCTTTCTCTCTCCCTCCCTGCTTTCCTCTCTCCCTCCATCTCCCTCCTGCTCTCTTTCTCTTGATCTCTCCCCACTCTCTCTTTAATGTTGCCTTTCAAATAAATAACTTTTTTTAAGAAAAAGGAAAATCAGAGGAGATTGAAGGTGGGTGGTGGGCACTTGGTAGTTTGTAACAATGTGGTGACAGCAAAAATGGAGCAAAGTGAGCAGACTTTAAGGTGATTATGTTAGAAATCACTAGCTTTGCCAAAGGATTGGACATGGAGGATCAAAGAGAGGAATATAAAGATTGTTCTTACTGTGTGGCTTCGTCCCAAAAGTTCTACTTAAGGTTGATCACTGAAGTAGAGAGCAAAAAAATCACTATATGAGTAAGACTGAAAAGAAAACATTGATTTTCCATTTTCGAGAGTCTCAATCTGAGATGTCCATGGACATCCAAGTGGAAGTATCAAATCAATAGTTTTATATAAGCTTGAAATTCAGTGGAATAGCTCTATAATTTTGAGAGTGATTATCAAATAGGTGAAGTTTAAAAGCTGCCAGAGACTACTTAGTGAGGAAATAGAATGAGATGAAAGCTTAAAACTGACTATAAAGGAATCTGGTGTTAGGTAGAAGAGAAGGGATAGAGATCAAAATTGAGAACACAGGTTCAGAGTGAGCTCCCCCTATACTCAGAATGTATGGAAGTTACAGAAGCCAGAAAGAGATGGCGTCTGTTGTGTTCTATGCAAATGTATTGTTGAGAAAGAGGAGGGTCACACAGAAATCTTTAGAGCCCCTTATCAAAGAGATTTCAGGGAAACTGGAGATTTTAGACTGGTGGCTTGCACTAATGGTGAGTGGAAGGTGGTGATGTGTAAGCTACCAATTCATTAATATTGTTAAGGAGATTAACTATGAAACATATATTGATCATTAGAATAGTTGGAAGGAGGTGAGTCCCCTCATGGTAACAGAGATGGTTGAGGCTGGGGAGAGAGAAGTCTGTTGACAAGAATGGGACAGGTCTTGATCTTACATGAAGAAGGGTCTCTGATGGGCAGAGGGGTGCTTCATCAGTTTTGACAGGGTGACCACTGGTCAGGGTAGGTTTGTAGATTTGGTGGTGGGCAGACAAGGGAGCACCCCTTTGATCCTTGTATCCTCAATGGAGTCTGAAGGTTAGCAGAAGGAAGAAGGAAAGCTTATGGCACTATTATCTTAGAGGTGGGAAAGCTGAGTGATTTCTGAAAAGCAGTAGGAGCAAAGCTCAAATCTACTTGGTTTTGATGGAGTTAACCTGTCCAGGTATGTGGTTTTCTGTAACACAGAGAAGGCAAATGGATTGAATTTTTTTCCAAAGAAGAATTTCTTCCAAAATTTAGATCCAGAAGGGGGTGTGGGTCCAAGAGCTTAAAATTGCTTTTCCATACTCAAATCACCTGTAAGTGGTTGAGCTGGTATGAAAATTCAGACTGAATCTCTCAGACCATGTTTGTGTTTGTTTAAATCAAGTAATTAATTATCTCTAGACCTCCTTCTCCCTCTACTTGATGTCTTCAGTTTTTCTGGAAAAATCATTCATTGTCACTATTGCTGATAACCTCATGGTTAACAAAGTCCTTGGCATAAGGTAAAGTATTCAGAACTAGTTAGTTAAATGAATGAGTTAAATGAATGAATAGCTGTGTGAGTAATATCATGTTCTCTGCTCATTGGGGTCTTTTTGTGCCCCAAACCTAATGGTATATTACCCAATATAAATAGAATGGGAGTCATATGTATCATTTTAAACTTTCAAGTAAACACATTAAACAAAGAAAAAGAAACATGTGAAGTCAATTTCAGTCATCTATTTTATTTAAGTCAATCTATCCAGATATTCTCATTTCAACATGTAATCAATAGAAAAGAAATGAGACATTTACTATTTGTAGAACAAGGTCTTAAAAATCCAGTTTGTATTTTACAAACACAGTACAACTCACCACCTTTCAAATGTTTTCTAACCCCATCTAGCTAACTGGCTTTTACATTGGAAAGAATAGATCTGCAGTCTTCATGAACCGTGGCTCCAGCCATTTGGACCTATGTTCAGAATTTGTAATCATCACCCTTTTCTGATCCTTGGCCTATTAATGGTTCACATTTACACTATGGAAGATGAAGCATTCTGGAAATTATTTGTTCTTGGTTGCAAATGGCTACAATAGGTGCTGAGCAACAATTAAACAGTTCTACACAGCCATTCCAGAGAGCCAAAACTGTGCAATATACACACAGGAGCATTAGATCTGTTACTGTGAGAGTGAACAAGACTTCTTGGCTTTGTACATTCCCAAACAAATTGTGTCACTAGAAATTTCTGCAGAGGTATAAGCTGTAATAAATAAATTATTTTCTTTTTAAAATATTTTTTTTTGCTGGGCTGAAAGAGAGACAGAGAGCTCCCATTTGCTGGTTCACTCCCCAAATGTCCACGATGGCTGGAGCTGGGAGGAGGCCAAAGCTAGGAGCTGGAGACCCAATCCAGGTTTCCCATGTGAGTGGCAGGAATTCAACTATTTGAACTATAACCACTACCTCCTAGAATCTGCATCGCTGAAAAGCTGAAGTTGGGAATTAAACCCAGCAACTCTTGTTATGGCACATGGGCATCTAAACTGCTAGATAAAATTCTTTGCTCCAATGAAGTCTTTTTAGTGTACTAGAAAACTGATATCTTTCCAAAAATTAAATTTCCCAATTTTTCTGCTGTTGTTCACTTGGTAAGTTTGATTGAGAGAATTTAAATATTGAAAACTGCTTTTTAAAAAATTATAGAATATGAGAATACTTCGAAAAGATTATGGAAAATGAAATTTAAAAATACTTATTTTGGTGCAAAACAAATTTGAAATCCATACATGTTTTTTTTTCATAGTTAGCATTTTCAGTGAACTTTTTGAAGACCCCTCATAAAGTAACACTAGTATCCTTCTCCCATCTCACCTCTCCTTTTGAGTCATCACTTTTATTTTTTAGCCAGAAGAAGATGGATGGACTCTGATTCTGACTGTAAGCTCATAGATCTCCTGACTCAGTGGATGAGTTTCTTGCCCTTTCTGTGCCTACTCTCGTCATCTATCAAAGGAGGAAAGGAACAGAGGTGACTTCAAATAGGTTATTTTGAGGATTCCACGAGATAACACATGTGCCAAAGTGATACATGTGACATATTTGTCCACTGCATCTGGCAGGAACTGTGACTGCCTCTATGGCATCAGTTCAATTCATGGGTAACAGGTGTAAAAATGCTTCCCACCTCAGGCTGTCATACTAGCAAATCCAATAACAATGTTTCCTACAAGGAGAGGCATTCCGAATCTCAAAGGTTAAATCACTAGTTCTGGGCAGAAAGAGAAAATAAAATATTTATACTAAGACAGGAAGGGAAGCTTCATTTATTTAAATGACAGCAGTGTTTCACTTCCATTTAAATAAATAACCCTACTCCTCCAGTCCCATCTCCCTGAAATATTAGCCTGCCTGTGCTGATACCTCAGACTTGAGCTGTCTCCAGGGTGCTGGAGGGACAAGTGCAGGCTTGTCCCTTCCAGGGATGGGTTTTGGGCTCCCTGCTTTTTTCAGACGTGTCTATAAGGCTTAACAATTTTAAAAAGATGATTAAAATGCACACAATGCCCATGTTTTCATTGTGGCCACTGTTAATTATGCTAAAGGATCTGCAAGGATCTCCAAGACCAAGACCCGGAGACACACTAGGGTCACATCTTCTGTCTGTCTTTCAGTTCCACAAGGAGAGATTCAAAATTGACATGCCACACAGATTTAAAGTCTACAATTACAAGAGCCCAACGTTCTGTGAGCACTGTGGGACTCTGCTGTGGGGGCTGGCGAGGCAAGGACTCAAGTGTGATGGTGAGTAGAGCAAGGTGGACCCAGGGCGAGCCTCCAAGGGGGGTTCTGAAAAGCTTTGCAGAGAATAGGAGGGAGAAATAAGAGGCAACCTGGCCCCACCGTGGCCATGAATGCATCTTCCTGGACAACATACTACTGCTTCTACCTGCAACAGCCTCATCTTTGCATCCCTGATGAGTGGTCAATAGTTCTGGTTCGAAGTCAAGGCTCTGTTGTACCCCACAAGCTTCTGTTGTATCATAGCCTTTGAGAAAAATGAAGACAGCATTTCTCCTCTGACGGATCAAGCCCCCACTTCTCTCTGGTCTGAATTACTGTTTCCACCGTAAGCTCTGGGCTGCCCCTTTTCTAATTCTGGCAGGTGTAGCTGTGTGAGGTCCCTACCCTTCTATTTTGCCCCAGTCAGCTGTATTCTGCCATTCCATCAAGGAACAAGCTTACACGTCCATTTGACTGTTGTAAGGACCCAGACAGAGACTCTGTGAGTTAAGTTTCAGTTAACCACTCTTGTGAACTCCAAGTGGCCAGGAAAAAGCCAAGTCTAGCACCCACTACCATTTCTCCTTGTCTGGTCTTTCCTCAAAGGCAGCTCTTAGAGTAGTACCTAAGCTAGTCTTTACTGATGGACTTACTCAAACCCATCTTGAAAAAAGGAGACAAAAGGTTTTCTTGCTCTAAAACTCCAAGTTGCTAAGGCGATAACCTTTAGAAAGTGAGATGTTGTTATGCCAGGATCATGAAGTAGGGAGGCAAAAAAATTCCGAGAAGAACTGATAAATGCTCTACCTTGGTAGGGGGCAAGTTGAGAGTGGGAGCTGGTCCCTGATAATAGAGACTCGGTAGGAAGGCTTCCTGCTGCAGCACAATTTTTGATGATGATGAACTGTTAAGCATATAAGCTAGTTTATTTTTTCTTGACAATCTCGTTTTAATTTATGCCATCAGCTAGTATGAGTGTATGTCTTCTCCTTTAAGCATACAGTTGGCTGACAGAAGGTGCAAGATCATCTTCCACAGTCTCCCTTTCCTTATCCCTATGAGGTTCATGTGCCTAGAGGAGCCTGGGGTAACCTCTTAGAAAGAGTTGTGTTTTAAAATCACTGCCTAAGGCAAAAATAATAGGTCGTCAGAATTAGCCTTGAGAATCCTGTTATGGTCCCAAAGTATTATACAGCTTCCTCTATACACCTGTTAAAGAATACATGAATAGGAAGAGTATTATATAAAAGGTTCATAGGCAAACAAAAAAAGCCCCAGTATTCTGATTGCATAAACAGAAACATGAATATTCAGATTCTCACTGGTTAGTAATCCTGTGATGGTATCACATTTGGATGTCCTTGGAGCTCAAGGGTTCGCCTGCTGAGGCCAGGCTGGTCCTGACCAGTTGACTATAAAGCTCAGAACTTCCCTGAAGATTCCTAGGCATTATTTCATGCTCACATGACCTGCTTGGTTGTGTTCCTTTTTCTAACATTCTTCCCTTCCCATTCCATTCTCTTTCCCTGCTTCCCTCCTACCACCTTCATTTCTCATAGTTCCCCTCCCTCTTTTCTGTTGCCACCTCTCCTTTCCCTCCCCTGCCTTTCCTTCCCCATTTCATTTTCCATTCTTTCTTCTTATAGCTCCTAAATCTCCCTGTTTTCTCAACTCTGTCCCCTTCCACCTGCCCACATCCTAATCTATTGATTGTCCTGGTTCTCTGATTCTCTCTCCCTCTTCTTGGCTTTACTCTTCTGTGCTTTGTAGGCCATCTTCTTAAATAGGGTCTCCGTTAGCCTTTACCCTGTCTTCCCTCTGTCTCTACACTAATTCCCATGAAAATAGCCACCAAAAGGGACTATTTGCATTCACAGAGATCAAGTTGCCATCTGATAGGTTAGTAACAAAAACTAATGTAGTGAAAGTGGGGATGGTGGCCTTTCTTCAGGACCATGTGCTTCAGAAACAAGCCTAGATTTGGCTACAGTTTTAAGGAACAAAATAAAATTACAATCATGTTAAATGCTGGATAACTGACTTACTTTGCTTTGCAGCAATGAGTAAGAAAGTGGAACTGGGACTGCTGAAGTTAAAACCTACATAAATAAGGTCCATGTAATGCTGATAGTGCAGAATTCAGAGTAGTACCATAGAAAACATTCTTACCATATTAAAGTTTTTAAATACACATGCAAGATGTTGCTTCAAATAGAACTTTGTAGCTGTATCTATGTATATGTACTGAGACTAATAATAGTTTAGAGCTATTTGCATAGAACATGCTGCTTTATTCTGTTTTATGATGAACTATCTAAAAAAGAGTAGTCTAGTTTAAACTAAAGGTGAGGGCTGTCAAATTTCACCTAAATATTTTAACACATATGTCCATGTAACAAATAATGAAGATGAATGAGAAGTTGTATTTGTTGATTACTCAGCCAAGTGCCAATCACTGTGCTAAGATCCTCATATAAAAAGATTGCTAATAAGCCAATACAATTAAAACTATACCATTTCATAAGTCCCACCACCCAATTGCATTATGCCAACTGCTGTTTATCTAATATTCAAATATACAAGCAGTACTTGAGATTAGAGTTTTATCAACTGGAGTGTGAAAATTTTTGTTAGATTCTTTGATGTAATGATGATATTTCATACACAAAGTTTGAATTTTCTAATTCACACTAATGATGTGATGTAATAGTTATCTCAAAGGCACACACATATCCCCAATCCAAGAAGGATCCTTGGGTCACAAAAGTAGAGGTTATTTATTTATGGTGCTCTTTTCAGGATTCATGAATAAATAGACGTGCCAAGAATGGTAGAGTCTTAGAACCAGAAGCCCATAGACATCCTGAATTCTTTGCAACAAGACCCCTCATCTGGGGTCCATGGAGAGAAAGTGACTTGTTCAAGGTCATGCATTGTTGACTGCCAGTACAAGCTGCCACAGCACATGCTTTCCTCCCCAGGATCCTTGCTCCAGTATCTCCCACTCGTCTTCCTTTTCCTTTTTGCAAAATAAAAATAATGCCAACTCATTCTGTCTCTACTGCTCACCAGCCCTGTTTCTTCCTTTTAGCATGTGGCATGAATGTCCATCACCGATGCCAGACAAAAGTGGCCAACCTCTGTGGTATAAACCAGAAGCTAATGGCTGAAGCTTTGGCGATGATCGAAAGCACCCAACAGGTAGGGAAGCATTGACTTGATGAGCTCCTGCCATGTTAGCTGTTTAACAAGGGCCGCTCAAATCCTTTTGCTCTTTGACCTACAGCAAGCCAATGGGACCATGTGGAATGTGTTTCTGAGCATTTGTCTTGACACTTTCATCCATTGCCATGCTCATACCCTTCCCTTTGATATATACTTTTATTTAGTCAATACAATTCGTGTTGCATCTTTATAAGATTTTAAATTCTTCCTGGAATGAACAGGGACAGAAAGAAAACAGTCATCCCTAGATCAGCAGGAAAACTGGTTCCAGCCCCCTCTAGATAACAAAAGGGACAGATGCTCAGGTGCCTTAGATAAAATGATGGAATATTGCATACAATCTTTAAATCTTTATAAATTAGTTATAATACTTAAGACAATATAAATGCCATGGACAGAGTTGTTATATTGCATTGTTTATAGAACAACAGAAAAAAGTTCAGTACAGATACAATTTTTTTTCTGAATATTTTCCATCTGATGTTGGTTGAATTCATGAATGTGGTACCTAAAGACACAGAGAACTGACTATAAATTCATTAAAATTATTCAGAATTCATTGCCAGCTTCATACTTGAATAATAGGACTACATAATAATCCAGGAGAAAACATTTATTTGATAGAGATTATCCTGATAGTTGCCTCAGAACAACAAGTCCAAGGCAACTTTTGCTTTGTCACTTGTTCCTTGGCAATGATTTGAAATTCCGATATCCAAGAATAAGCCCTCGTTAAGACTTAGCATTGCCTGTGTAAATGATTTTTGCATCCCTTGACTTTTTATTCTTATTTGTGATAGATTCCATGGATAGCATGGGAGAATTCAGCTAACCCCAGAAAAGTAAGTGAGCGTGCTCTACTGGTACAGTAAATCCTCTCACAGGATTAGGGATCCTCAAAGAATGTTGAGGGAAAGATGAGCTTTGGTCAACCTGTGCATTTTGGAATCTTAAATAGCTTTTGTTCCTAGGGACAGCAGACTGAGCTGTCACATGGACGGTGGTAGGTGGATGGACTGACTCTGTATCTGTAATCTAGGCTCGCTCCTTAAGAGATTCAGAACACATCTTCAGAGAAGGTCCAGTTGAAATTGGTCTCCCATGCTCCACCAGAAGTGAAACACGGCCGCCACACTTACCAACACCAGGGAAAAGAGGTAGCCATTGTGGTGCATGGTCAAATCAATGTCAGTAACTAACCTTGATTAACCTTATCCTGAGTCCTCTGGATTTCAAAGTCATTGGCTTACTGGTCTGAAAGGTGATGCTTTTCTATTTAAAGATAATAGACCTAACCACTAGGAGGTTCCTACTTCTGAGAGGTGAAGACAAAATACTCCTTACTGGGATCCTTGGTAAGCAGGTAGGAGGTCAGAGAGGAAAATGGGATAGGTCTGGAGGAAATGACTGCAGTTAGATCCTTAGAATTCTAGAATGCAACTTTCTGCCTGTGTTAAATGATTTCACAAAATAAATGTCAATAATGGAAATATCTTCTTTGATGTTCTTATATTGCACTGTTGAGGCTTTTCTACAAAGCTTAATGGTAGAAGAAGAGAAGTATTGCCAAGCCCAGAGCCCTTAACATATATGACATTATGGAAGGTTATCCAGCCTACCGTTTGAAGGTAGTGCATGGCAAGCCATGACCACATGATTTTAGTAGCTGATTGGTTTGAGTTTACATTATAAAATATTTATTTAAGAGACAATATGAAATATAGACATAAGGATGAAAAATAAGGATGGAGAGGAAGGAATTTTAAAAAAATGTTTTTGTATACTTCCTTAAGCACAAGGACTAACTCAATTTCATTCTTTTTTTAAGTTCTGAGATGGATTTAGGAAGGGTCTCCTGGCAGTGAAGTAGACCAGGTCTCCACAATGATCAGCAATGAAGACCGTGATGAATGAGGCAGTGAGATATTTAACAGTCTGATGGATTTCACCTCTACTTCCCTCACATTGTGACTCACAAAGATTGATACTCCTATGGTCGGGAGCCACACAAACACTGAGAATCATTTTTCCTCCAAAAATTTGGTTAAAATCTCTGTTTGTTCATGAGTTAACATTATTAAAGAAGTTCATCTAGTTTGCAAGCATAGTGTTTTGCTGATTGGAATATGTCTTTTAAGATGACTTATTTCTGAGTCTATTAGGTAATAAGTGGACACAGTATAAGCCCCAAATTCCAGGTTCATAAGAAGGAGATCATTACCCCACAGACAGATGGGGAGGTGTTAAAGCTGCCTGAATTTCAGGAGCCTCCTGCCCCACCCCATTATTACAGAAGGAGCCCCGGAATGGGAAGTAGAAAAGAATGGGGGTGCTGTGAGTCATGTCATTGACTCTCCATTACTCCATGCTCACTTTGAATCATTGGCTTACCATTTTCAGAGCCTCAAGGAATCTCCTGGGAGTCTCCATTGGATGAGACGGATAAAATATGCCACCGTCCAGAACCAGAAGTGAACATAGAAAGACCATCTCTACATATGAAACTGAAAATTGAGGATTTTATCTTGCACAAAATGTTGGGAAAAGGAAGTTTTGGCAAGGTATGCTACTGTGTTAAAGAACTGTATGGATCTGGGGCCGGTGCCGTGGCTCACTTGGTTAATCCTCTGCCTGAGGTGCCGGCATCCCATATGGGAGCAGGGTTCTAGTCCCGGTTGCTCCTCTTCCAGTCCAGCTCTCTGCTGTGGCCTGGGAAGACAGTGGAAGATGGCCCAAGTGCTTGGGCGCCTGCACCCACATGGGAGACCAGGGAGAAGCACCTGGCTCCTGGCTTCAGATCGGCATAGTTCCAGCCATAGCGGCCATTTAGGGAGTGAACCAATGGAAGGAAGACCTTTCTCTCTGTCTCTCTCTCTCACTGTCTAACTCTATCTGTCAAAAAAAAAAAAAAAAAAAAAGGGAGAGAGAGAGAGAGAGAAAGAATTGTACGGACCAGGTTCCGGGAATTGAAGAGCAATGCTGGTTGATGGAACTAAACTTGTGGGATCAAACTGTGTGTGGGGTGTGGATGTATTGTGTGAAGAGGACTCTGTTAGACAGAGGACAGCAGGGTAAGAACAGCCTCTGCTCCCTGGGAATCTTTGTCCCCAAAGTCATTCACTCTGGGAGTATATTCCCCCACAGCTATGAGCTCCGTGTCTTTGGGCACCAGAGAAATGGGAAGGTACCTTTGCCATTTCCTGTTTCACACAGATTTCTTGTTTGTTTGTTTTCCATTTACTTCTTTCTCTAAACTTGAGTTTTGTTTTTCTTTGTATGTGATTTTTTTTCTATCAATTATTTTCAGGCTTCTGTTAGTTTATCAGATGCTACAACAAAATACTGCACACTGGGTTGCTTAAACAGTAGGAATTTTATTTCTCATGGACTTGGAGACTGTAAATCCAAGATCAGTGTTTTAGAAGGCTTGTTTCTTCCAAGACCCCCTCTCATGGCTTGTAGGCAGCCATTTTCTCCCTATGTCCTTGCCATGGGCATCCTTCCTTGTGTGTCTGTTCCAAATTACAGTTTTTTGTAAGGAAGCCATTCACATTGGAGTATGGTCCATCCTAATGACCTCCTCTAAACATACTCACCTCTGTAAAGGTCCTATCTTAAAATGGGGTGATATTCTGAGTGTTAGGACTTCAACATTTGAATGGTGAGAGAGACAGGGTTGGATACCATCTAATAAGGCTATAGCTTGAAGAAGCTCCATGAAGAAATACCTTTCTCTAAATTCTTCCTGTCATGCAAAGAGGATGAAGAGGAAGCCAAGGGAAGGAATTTGAAGGAAAAGGGAGAAGGTGAGTAGAAGGAAAATGATGTACTTTAAGAAATTGTAGCAAAACATCACAGGTGGCACAACATTTTCAAGTGAGTGATTGTAAGGAAGGATGATATGGAAGAAAGGCTTTGGGTTAGTTTGAGTATTAAGGATACATTATGTTTGGGCCAGCACCGCGGCTCACTAGGCTAATCCTCCATCTTGCGGCGCTGGCACACCGGGTTCTAGTCCTGGTCAGGGCGCCGGATTCTGTCCCGTTGCCCCTCTTCCAGGCCAGCTCTCTGCTGTGGCCAGGGAGTGCAGTGGAGGATGGCCCAAGAACTTGGGCCCTGCACCCCATGGGAGACCAGGAGAAGCACCTGGCTCCTGCCATCGGATCAGCGTGGTATGCCGGCCGCAGCGCACCAGCCGTGGCGGCCATTGGAGGGTGAACCAATGGCAAAGGAAGACCTCTCTCTCTCTCTCTCTCTCTCTCTCACTGTCCACTCTGCCTGTCAAAAAAAAAAAAAAAAGTAAAAAAAAAAAAAAGGATATATTATGTATTAATGGGGTTCCTGGTTGTTGGATGTTCTTGGGTACAATTCCCAGGGAATTTCTAACCAAGACTCCACGCATTTGTACATCTGAAGCCACCATTATGCTTAACAACTGCTTATCAGATTTTGGCAGGAAAATTTACCCAGTTTATTGAATAATAAACAAATAGGCAACTGAGCATCCATCACAGCTGAATAACACTGTGCTCCAATTTGGGGCTTGGGTTTAAACATTAATGCATTCACTTTGGACAAAATTCTGTTCTGTCCTGCAAACTGGCTGATACCCATGAATCCTTTTAGTTCATTTCCACATCAATATGAGCCACAGTAGGCTCATTTGGTATTAATCTAGATGTAATAGGAAATCTAACAGCCAGTCTTCATTGTAATTTAGCATCAATTAATGTGCAATTATAACTTATTACCAAAAATTGAAAGCCCATTATATAGATAGAAATTGCCTTTTCAGCTTCTTAGATGATGGCAGGTTTTAGGGTATTTTACAGAAAGAAGCAATCAGCAAAAGAATACTTTTAATTGTTAATGAAATGTTTTTCTTTATTTTTTTTTTGTTCCCATGTGGATTCCCACATTTAAACAGATTAATAAGAAGGGCATTAAGTTAAACCTACAAGCCTTAGTAAATATCCCAAGGGACATCTCGGAGATTCAAGTATCCCCTGCTGTGTGTCCAAAGCAGAATGCCTCTTTCCAGCGGGACCTTGGGTGCCTGCACACTGAGAGCATGGGGATTTGCACTAAAGCAAAATGGGACAGCTGTAGTTCCTTCCTAGGATACTGAGAACACTCCAAAACTTGCTGGTCCTCTGTCTTTTAGTCCTTTACAGGAAGTATGCTTCCCCACCAAAATGGTAGCCTCTGTGTTGCTCTTCTCAACCTACCAGTTAAGCCCAGGAGAATAAATTTCACGTTTTCTGGATATGTGAACATCATTCATTTGAATTCTCATCTCAACTCCAACCTCTCCATGCTTTTAGCACAGCACTGTTTTAAACGTAGGCCCTCATGTTGCCAGTACTTTAGATCATTGCTGACTTGAGCAGTCCCTAAAAGTCATCCATAGAAACAAATGTTCAGCACAACTATCCCTTAAATAGCATTTTGTGATTTGCAAATCACTTCCTCATGTGGTGTTTGCTTTGATTGTGGCCGTAGTCCTGTACATCAGCAGAGCAGACACAGTACTAGTGATCCATTTTACAGGTTCTTCCGTGATTCATAGCTTCCCCACATTTTCACAACTAGCCTGTGAAATAACACCAGAGCTGAAGCTTTTGTATCCAAATGGTGTGTCCTTCAAGCTGCCCTTGGCCGGCTGCTGCATCCTTTGCAAAAGCTAAAGTTATTGAAACCGCATCCTACGCCATCTGGTGTCCTTTGATAGAAGACTCGGAAAATCAAGTGGTGAAAGTAAACTTTGGAGTTCGTCTTCCATTGAAGAGCTCTATCTATTTGAGCAAGTGGATGCAGGGGCCCAAGCACCCGGGCTATCCTCCACTGCTTTCCCAGGCCATTAGCAGGGAACTGGATGGGAAGAGGAGCACCCCCATGGGATACCAGTGCTGGAGGCAGAGGCTTAGCCTACTAAACCACAGCACCGGCCACTGATACTGACTTTTTAAGTACATAAGGAGAACTATATCCCTGGAGTCTTATTTATTGCCTTGAAAAACTTTGTAAAACTTATAGCTAGGTTTTGTGTGTCTTTGCAGTCATGTCTCAAGTACAACTAAGTTCTCCCTCCACTATTCACCCCTTCTTCCTTCTGTATGCACTTAGTCTCTCTGAATTTTCATTATTCACCTACTCCAGCCCTGAAAACATACCTTTTAAAACAGAATTTTTCAGGTACTGGAAATAACCTATCCAAACTGTATAACTCTGAGTAATCCTGGGAACTGCACAAAGACGCATTAAACTTTTAGGTAACATCCTAAACTAGTGAATGGCACCACTTTGAGTCATATCCTACCCAAGAAGGAGAGGAATCAGAGAAAAAACATCTTTTCTCACTCAAAACAGATTTCTCTCAAGAATTGGTCTCTTCTTTAATGGGTGAGAATTAAAATTCTAAAATGAATGTGCTTCTTGCCTCTCCTTCTAGGTCTTCCTCGCAGAGTTCAAGAAAACCAATCAGTTTTTTGCAATAAAAGCTCTAAAGAAAGATGTGGTCCTGATGGATGATGATGTTGAGTGTACGATGGTGGAGAAGCGAGTCCTCTCCTTGGCTTGGGAGCATCCGTTTCTGACACACATGTTTTGCACATTCCAGACCAAGGTATGGCTTCTCCTCGGTGGCCCTGCTCCCCCACCCTAATCTGTCCAGAGTACGGTGCTTCCAGTGATATTTTTAATTGGAACCACAAGCTGTTTGCATATTTATCTTCTCAACTTTCTGATCATCTTTCATCCACCCATCCAAACAAACTTCATCTTTTCTCAACACTATGGAAATGTAGCTTAGAATATTTTAATGTCATTGGTTGGGAAACATTTTTACTTCCCAATGGGTTTGCTGTTTGCTTGGTTTTGTGTTTTTGTTTTGTTTTGTTAGAATTCGCTTAACTTAGCCTGATAACCAGGCTTCTCAATAGTCATTGAATTCAGAACAAAATAGCTAACACTAGTTCATTCTATGTATTTTGAAGAGATAAATGCTGAAGAATGGATCCAAATGTACGCACACTGTTACTGGCCTTAAGGCTGGTGGGAAAAGCCAGCCTGCAGAGTGGGCTTCATCAGTGAGCAAGCTGCTGAGTGAGACATGGCAGTGAAGGGTGGGTGTGTCACCATGGCCATTCAGCTTTGGGCTCCTCTTTTACTCTGATCGTCAGCTTTCCCTTACTGTGACAAAACACATTCAGGAGCTAACTTATAAGAAGAAAATGTTTATTTAGTCCTCAGTTTGGGAAGATCAAGTTCAAGATTGGGTGTCCCCATTGGTTTGGCATCTAGTGAGGGTGTCACATGGCCATGACACATCACTTGTAGAGGAAGGATCACATGAAGAGCCAGGGAGCAGAGGGCTGCACCCCAATGTGGGATTTTGTAACTACCTTCTCCTGGGAGCTTCCTTCTCACCGGCTGTCTCTAGGGATCTAAGAACATCCGCTAGCCTCCAACTCTAAATGCCACGATTGTACTGAGGTCCCATTCTCTTAGTTCCAGTGTCTTATGACTTTGGGGTTTAAAGTTATGCATGAAGGGCAGGTTTTAGGTGCAATGGTTAAGACAGTGTTTGGGGGATGGGAGGACTGGCATTGTGGCATAACATATAAAGCTTCCACCTACAATACTGCTCCACTTTTGATCCAGGTCCCTAATGAAGGCCTGGACAAAAGCAGCAGAGGATGGCCCAAGTCTGGGTCCCTGTCACCCATGAGGGAGACCCAGATAAAGCTGCTGGCTCCTGGCTTCAGCCTGGCTTACCCTGGATACTGCAGCCACTAGGGAAATGAGCCAGCAGGTGGAAGATACTCTCGCTTGCTCTCTCAGCTCTGACTTTCACAAATAGACAAATCTTTAAAAACATACAAAAAATGGTGCTTGGGATGCCAGCATCCCTTATCAGAATTCATGAGTTTCAGTTCTGGCCCCAGTCCCAATTCCAGCTTCCTGCTAATGCACACCCTGGAGGTAGCAGGAGATGTCTCAATTCATTGAACCCCTGTCTCCCTCATGAGAGCTACTGCTTTGGCCTGGCCTATCACCAGCTGTTGTGGACATTTGGGGAGTGAACCAGTGAATGAGCTCTCTCTTTCTCTCTCTCTCTCTCTTTCTGTCTCTCTCTCTCTCTCTGTCTCTCTCTCTCTGTCTCTCATAAAGTAAATGAGAAACAAAATTTTAAGGTCTTGCACAAATTCAGAGGCTAAGTCACCTTCAAACCACAGCACTAATTTTATCAGAAGGCTCCACTATTCTGGAAGGGACTTTGTTCTAATCTCCTTTTCAATTAAAAAAATGTTTTAATGTGTTAATGCTCCCTCCCCTCCTTTTTCCGCTGACTCAGAAGTTACTCGGGATTGCATAAACCTTAAGAAATGCTTAGAAATTCTGGGAAAATATCTTCTCTATTTGCACCAGTTGGATATATTCACCATTAAAACTTGGAAGTTTATCTTGCTAAAGTCCCACCCCTGCCAGTAGATATTTTTTTAAATAAAAATAGCAACCCACTGTAAATACCTACTGTTCTGTGACTTGCATTTTTAACACGCATATATTCATTTCTTCCCATCTGTGTACATTCTTCTACAACTTGCTTTATCTAATTAGAACTTTCTTTTTACTCTGATTTGAATAACATTGAAATGAACACCCTCATTGATCAATCTTTATACATGAGCATTATGATTTTTTTCTCTCCCAGTTTACCTTTACTTTAACTTCTTAAATTTTTTAGATATTTATTTATTTATTTATTTAAAAGGCAGAGTTACAGAGAGAGAGGGAAAAATAGAGAGAGAGAGAGAGAGAGGTCTTCCATCTGCTGGTTCACTCTCCAAGTGGCCACACAGCTGGAGCTGAGCCCATCTATAACCAGGAGCCAAGAGCTTCCTCCAGATATCCCACATGGGGCCCAAGCACTTGGGCCATCCTCCACTGCTTTCCTAGGTCCTCAGCAGAGAGCTGGATTGGAAGTGGAGCAGCTGGGACACAAATTGGTACCCACATGGGATACTAGTGCCACAGGCAAAGGTTTAACCTACTACATCACAGGACAGGCCCCTAATTTTTCTATTAATTTTTACTTATTTTTATTTTACTTTAAAGGCAGAGAGACACAAAGAGACAGACAGACAGAGAGATTTCCCATCTGCTGGTTCATTCGCCAACTGCCCTCAACAGCTACTGCTGGGCCAGGCAGAAGCCGGGATCCCAGAACCCAGTCTGGATCCCCATCAGGGATGGCAGGTACCCAGGAATTTGAACCGTCACCGGCTGTTGGAATCAAAGGATCGGAAGCAAAGGAGCTGAGATTCCAAGCAGGCACTCTGATTTGGCGTGCGGTCTTCCCAAGCAGTGACTAAATACTGTGCCAAGTGCCCATCCGGCTATCCTTATTTTTCTACCCGTCTTTACCCCATCCCATTACACATAGTCTTGGATAACAAGCAGACTCTTGTGGGACCAGGTGACCAAGGTGCAAAGAGCATGAGCAGTGAGGTTTATCACTTGCTTTTATTTCAAGTCATGGTAATCTTAATAAGGGTTGTAGGGAACTCTGGGGTGTCTCTGTCCACAGGAAGAATTTTGGAGGAATGTAAGAATCAACCAGAAAAAGTGGATGACCATTGGATTTCCATCACCACTTCTGCAGCTCCTCGTAGATTTTAACACACATTTTTTATTTGGCATATTTCTTTTTCTAAATTTACAGTTTTATTTACATAAAGAGAAAAAAAATTGTTATACAGTTTTAAGAGCAGAATGATACTTCCCACCCTACCGTCACTCACTCACTCCCACCCTCCTTTGTCCTTTCTTTCTTCTTTTTCTTTTAATTTTAACAATGACGTATTTTCAGTTTCTTTTATAATATCAAGCTTAACCCTCCACTAAGTAAGAATTCAGCAAGCTGTACGTAGGAAAACTACCAATCTTCAGGAGTATACACAAAAGCTATAAACAATAATCAAATCTCAAAATGTCAATTTCACTCATATACATTACATTTTTTGTTTCCTTTTTTATTTTTGAAATAGCATATTTTTGATTTATCTTATAGTCAAAGGCTTAATTCTCCACTAAATAAAAAGTTCAACAAGCAAAACGCAAAATGGCCATAGTTCTGCAGGAACCATGGGTCGTAAACAGCAATCAAATGTAAAGATGTCAACTACACCAATATATATAGTTGCAGACCATCAATATACAGCAGTATGTAACTCCTACAAATTTGCCTGAAAAGCTTCAAAGTGCATTTTGGCAAAACACTGTATTTGTGGCAAAACTGATACACAGTTATTTCTTTCTTTTTTGGATACAAATGAAATTCTACCATTTGCATCCAAATTCATTGCTGAATTATATTCCATTGTAGGTAGGTATGAGTGTGTCTGTGTGTGTGTGTGTGTTGTGTATTTGCTGATGTGCCCGGGGGATATATATTTTCTGTTTTTTTTAAACTTTTATTTAATGAACATAAATTTCCAAAGTACAGAATATGGATTACAATGGCTTCCCCCCCATAACGTCCCTCCCACCCGCAACGCTCCCCTTTCCCACTCCCTCTCCCCTTCCATTCATATCAAGATTCATTTTCGTTTCTCTTTATATACAGAAGATGAGTTTAGCATACATTAAGTAAAGATTTCAACAGTTTGCCTTCTGATGATGGACACTTTTGTTGATTCCAAATTTTGGCTATTGTGAACAGTGCTGCTATGAACTTGGTGGTGCAGGTATCTCTTTGATGCAATGTGTTCATGTCTCTTAGGTGTACACCCAGTAGTGGAATTGCTACATCATATGGAAAGTCTGATTCCAGTTTTTTTGAGAAATCCCCACATTGCTTTCCAGTGTCTGCACTAATTTACCTTCTTACCAGCAGTGTAAAAGAGTTCCCCTTTCTCCACATCCTTGCAAGGAGTTGCTGTTTCTGTTTTTGTTGTTTGGTTTTGGGTTTCCTTTCCTTTTCTTTTTTTTCCATTTAGTTGGGTTTTGTTTTGTTCTCTCTCTCTTTTTTTTTTTTTTTTTTTTTTTTTTTTTTTTTTGATAACAGCCATTCTGACAGTGGTGAGGTAATATCTCATTGTGGTTTTGATTTGCATTTCTCTGATGGCTAGTGGTGTTGAGCATTTTCTCATATATTTGTTGGCCATTTGTTTTTCTTCTTTTGAAAACTATTGAGATCTGTTGCCCATTTCTTAACTTATTGGTTGTTTTTGATGTGGCTGTTGAATAAATGAACAAATACACATAGCTAAAACAAAAAGAAAGCGATCTATGACAAAATACCTACTGAGCGTATATGATATTGGCTATGTAGTGGAGGATACAGACATAGATAAAATAGTTCTCAAACTTGAGAACAGTGTGAATAATGTTCAGTTAGGATGTAGACGCAGAAGACCTGAGCTGAGAAAAATTAGAAACTGGAATGTGAATAGGCAGAAAGGATATTGGGCATTGGAGGTGGTAGAAGGCATGGAGGAATGAAGGGCTAACGACAGGCTGTTTAAGAGAAAGTAGACCCATTTCTTGCAGTATCAGGGAGTTTGGAATTTCTGATAGTGATATTTTCTATAGCAACTTCTTCCCACCATACCAGCCTGGGATGGTGTAAAGTTCTAACGGCAAAGTGTAGATTTTCTCTGTGCCCTGGGACATGCTTGTGAACTCACTTTCCTTCTTGAAATATTATGAAGTTTATAGCAAACTCCAAACCAGGGCTCTAGGGGCACGATGCTGTCTAGCTTAACTTGGCACTTTTCCGATGCAATGTGTTTATGTCTTTTTTTAAAGTACATTGTCTTCGTTGTGCCATTCCCTTCTCTGGCTTATCCATCAGCACTTTAGTCTGTTCGTTTCTTCCCCTCTTTCGGGAGATGCTCTCTCGGCTTCCACGCAGGTGTGATGCTGTATCAGAATGCGAGAAGGAAGCGCATCAGCAGCATCTGTGCGAGGAGTAAAGAAACACAGCAGAGAACATGCACGCCAAACGTAAATACGACTGGCTTCACATTTCGATTTCAAGGAATCGAGTCCTTTGGGAGATGCAGGGGATAGAGGGAGTTTGCAGTCCATGTTCCCAAGGACCGTGAGTTGTTTCTGAGATGTCTTGCTTTGTTATTCAGGCCTGGCATTTTCACACAAAGTAGCTTATTAAACATCATCGCAAGGGACTGTAAAAGGCAATAATATAGAAGTGATGATTTCCTCTGGGGACATTATGGGAAGAGCTTGAGGGCACAATCACCTCTGCACACTAAGATAAATCAGCCAGCTACTTTTCTAGGGAATTGTTATTTATTTATTTATTTTTTGGAGAAAATCAGTCATTTGTTTTATGCCTCCCAAGAGCCCACTTGTTGAATATCAGATTCCTCAGGAGCTTTGGACAGTGGCTATTCACTTGCTATTTATCAGAAGTGTGTGGATTAAATTATTAAAGGTTTTCAGAGTTCATAGATGAAGGGTGAAAATGTGAGGAAACCGTTTAGGAAGCCACAATGAGTGAACAAGCTGTGGACTTGGACTCTGAAACTGAGCACCTGCTGTGTTTCCTCCCCTCTCCCTGTCCCAGGAGACAGAGCGAGGGTCATCTTGCAGAGGAATCATGAGGTGTGAACAGTGCTGGGAACACAGGTGTGCAAAACAACCCATGTGCTCGGAACCTGAACCAGGGTCAGAAGGAAAGAATTTCTGAAATTATATTCTGGCTGGTGGATCAAGACGACTTTGTATCAAGTTCAAGTACAGACAAGCTGTTGGCCCCCGAATCTCTTGCAGATCAGCATAATGGGGGAAAGGAATGTCTTTGTACTCCTCCCGTTTTACTCACATTTATTTCTCAACATTTCTGTTTTCTGTCTCCCATGGAAGCCCACAGGACTTGAAATTTCATGGTCCTCTCTCAGTGTCTGCTTCAGTGTGTGCCAGCCACTTTGCACACTACTGGGTTTTAAGTGTATACATCCAATACTTATTTTTCCATTATTTATATGGTAAAAAGTAAAAAAAAAATAGGAAAGATTCAAAATAAAAATGTTTTCAGGAACAGTTGTTATGGATCTTTTAGCTATATTCACTCAGATGTAAACTAAAAATCATTAGAAAAACTAACCATAAGACTTTGAAACCTCACTTCACAAATTACTCAGAAGGGTCACTGTTAAATTAATTCAAAAGGTTTTTCTTTAGAATCGACTATTTGTAAATTCTGGGTTTTTCCTCAAAAGAAACAAGACTCTAAAACTGTATATAGATTAAACCACAAAGTTTTGCTAGTTAATTCTAACTACTATATAGAAGGAAAAAAAAAGATCTATCTGACTTGGAAAAATAACATTCTGTTCTCTCCATTTTAAGATATTATTAACTAATTAGATACATTATTAGTTTTGTTGATAAACAAAACAAAATAACTTTTGAAACTATATATTAAAAGCCAACTCCTAATTTCATAGTTTTCTAAATGTGAACCAACGTGTGTATCTGTTGGAAATTACATTCGCTTCCCATAACAGAGATAGAAAATAGCAATGATTTAAATAAGATGCACGTGTTTCTTTCTCTCACGGAAAAGAATGAGATGTGTGTCACCAGAACAGGTGCGACAGTTCCTGGTGTCATGTGAGAGCCAGCATCCTGTGTGTCCCCCTTGCATCATCCACAGCACTGGCTTCCATCAAGGGTACTTCTCAGTCCAAAATGGCTGCTGGGGCCCAGGCTTCCCAGCCACATCCCAATCAATAAAAGAAGGGAGAGACACAGAAAAGAAGGGAAGGATGGAACGAGGCCACGCTCGCTACCTCTTCCCCATCAGAGCATTCTTCTCTAGAGCGCACGGGAGCCTTCTGCTTCATCACTTTGATCCCAGTATGGCTGCAGGAAAACTGGAAAATGGAATATTTCAGCTGCACACACGGCCATCCTGAATGGCTTTTTTAACTTTTATTTAATAAATATAAATTTCCAAAGTTCAACTTTTGGATTATAGTGGCTTTTTCCCCCCATAACCTCCCTCCCACCCGCAACCATCCCATCTCCCACTCCCTCTCCCATCCCATTTTTCATCACAATCATTTTCAATTATCTTTATATACAGAAGATCAATTTAGTATATATTAAGTAAAGATTTCAACAAACTGAACCCACACAGACACACAAAATATTGAGTACTGTTTTAGTAGTAGTTTTACCGTTAATTCACATAGTACAACACATTAAGGACAGAGATCCTACATGGG